AAAATCTGTGAAATAGCATCATCGAGAAAAGCATAAATCTTTGATTTAAGTGTATTTGAATAATTGCAGCATGGATTCAGTTGTATAGCATTTTCCACTAAACAAAACTTAGGGAATCTTTTAGATTCATCCTTCAAAAGTGGACCAATTTCTCATTTGTTTGTTTCTAATAATTGTTTTAATTAAGATCAGACCTGCACAATATCAGAGTTCAATAGGCAGGCCAGGACTCTCTACTCCCTAGTTGGTCATTTAATAGGTCTCAAACTTTAGCCATGACATGCAGAAAGCAGGAGTGTGTTGACTTTTCTGGAAACAGGGAACAGCTGTCTCTGCATAATTCCAGTTTATATTTCTGATAATTGTACAAAGCTGCTTTGAATTTTCTGTTAAATGAATGGCAGTCTTAGTATCAGCTGCTACATTTTTACAGGTGCTGGGTAGTATATTTTAACAGCCTGGGCCACTGAGGCACTAGTTACTAGGGAGAGCAAAGTTGCAGACCCTAGCATATGGCTCCTGAATCATCCATGAGCACAGCCTGGTCTGTTTGTGGGCAGGAGAATTGTTGCTCTCTCTGAAATCCTCCCTTGCTCTCCAAGTCAGGATTTTCAAGGTTGTGTGGGGTTGCTTTTGTTTGTTTTTTCTCCTTTCCTCTCCTTCATCACCTTGGGCACTTTTCTCCAGTCCTTTTCCCACCTCTGCCTTAACAGAAGTTTCCCAGGGGGAACTAATTTGTTCCAAATATAGATGTTTGCCAGGTTGTCCACCTTTTGTTTCAGGATTCATTTCCAGACTCTCAGCTACTAGATAATAACATTAATCTACACCTTCTTGTTGCTTTATTTGAGTTGGGCTGGTGCTGTTGAAATTCCTTTAGTGGAACTACTGGGGCAGAGCTGAAAGTCACCCCTGCAGAAAAGAGCTGTACAGCTGCTGCTGTTCTCCTGGGGCTTTGTTCCTGCTGCCCAGGGCTCCCATAAAGGTCCTGTGACCCCCATAGCTTGTTAGCCCAACAGAACCTGCCCTAGCCCAAGAGCTTCATGGTTCTGGGTCACTTCTCACAGGGAATCACACCATGGAAAAGTTAAGGAAACACCAGAGCTGGTGGAAAGGTGGAGGTGGGACCACACCTGGAGACCGTGGGACAGAGGATGTAGGGAGCAGGAGGAAGAAGCAGGAGCTCCTCTTTATGAGTTCTCCCTTGATTTGGGTGTCTCAGACATCTTGCCAAAATTAATTGCTACCAAGAGCTGTGTGTAGGCAGTGGTCTGCAGGGGTTAAGCAGTAGCTGGATGCAGTAATTTTTTTAGTTATACCCATAGTTTTATTAAGAAAATTTTGATTGATACCTTTCTGCTTAAGGTATAAACATTTTCCTCTTTCACCCTAACAAAGCAACGTATGTAACTTTGAGTGTTTTCAGTTGGTGAGGAGAGTTCTAGTCATGGGATCCCTGTGGTAATGGTGTTAATAAAGATTTGTTTATGTAATTGAGGTGAAAAATGGCTGGGAAAAACTCTTGTTGTGCAGGTCTCTCATATAAATCTTCAAAAATACATTTTCCTAGGAAAGGTCCTGACTTTTAAAAAAAAAAAAAAAAAACTAAGCACTTCCACATCCAAGAAAGGTTTATACTACTGTTATGTCAGGGGTAAAGCAAAACTTTTCCCACAGAGTTTGGAGGATTCATCCATTTGTCCTTCTTGCTGGGGAAGTTGTGGGCAGAGGCCAGTGTTCGTTGGTTGCAGGAATTCTGTTGATTTATCAGTCAACAGAAGCTTGTTTAAGAAATAAATTTTCACTTTACCTTTCCAGGTTCATTTTTCACATTACCTTTCCAAAGTGTGTCCAATTTGCATGTTGAACATAGATTTTTTTTTCACCCCCACCCTTCTAATCCTATTTTCTACCCTGAATTTGACTGATACAAGTTATTTTGACAGTCATTCCTGGGGTCTTTTGACAACAATTATATCAATAATTCAAGAAAAAAAATTCACTTTCTGTCTATAACCATCTCTTCAGAAGAAAAAGAATGGATTGCTTCTGTCATGGGCAGTGCAAAGCTTCCTATCTCCATCTACACTGCCAACAAGGAGTTGGAACTCTTGATGCCTCTTAGGGAAATTGGATTAAGTGGATCCTATTCCCAGAAATATCTCTGCTCATTGCAAGTCAGTTTAGTGGGTTTACATATGGTAATTTTCAAGTCAGGACCCAAAACGAGGGATTCAGTGGTTTTTCATGTATCAAGATTCAGGAGGCTGCCATCATGAAACTCAGGAATGACTTTGCTTGATCTGTTGGGGTTTTTTATGACTTATCCTCTAGACTGTGCAAAAGAAAGCAGTAAGAGCACAGCACTGACTGGTTTTCTGATCTGCTGACTGCTAAGTTCATCTCTGTGGAGTATTGGACATCATCTCACAGCTGATAATAACACTTCCCTCTGAAAGGGGAGAGGACCTGCACAGACAAAGTGGTGACCACTTGTTGGAAAGAGGATTACCAGATTTTAGGATGAACATTGGGGTATAATGTTGCTGATATGACAAAGAAAAATGTACATTTCAGTACTGAGTATTTAGATGGGGACAGCATTCCTGAGGGTGAAGAACATAGGTATGACATTTATCCTCCACTCTTATATGCAAGTCCTTTTACTTCCTGTCTGCTAAAGTAGGTGTCTGTTTTTGTCACCTATGAAAGATACTGGAATTGGTAGGTTTTCTTTCATGAGATGTGTTGGGAGCTGTTTGAGCTTTTAATTGCAAACCCAGGTAGTGCTCTACCCTTAATATTCAGTCCTTTCAACTGTTTAGATAATTTTAGGGCAGAACCTCATTTCTGTCCCTCCTATTAAAATCTGCAAATAATATGTTGGTCTGTATTGCAATCCAGTGTAAAGCCAGTGCTGGGATTTTGTTTCAATTAATCAATTTGCTTACCAGACCCTATTTTCTCCCCAAAGAACAGAGCAGCAGAGACTGCCTTCCTGGATTTTTTTTGTCCTTTTACCTGTCCTACATGGGACACAAGAAATTAACATCCAGCTGTATGGGGAGGTGAAAAAGGTGGGATTCATAAGGAAGGGGTGTGATTTGTTCCCCCACTCAGTCTGCAGCACATAAAATTCCTTAAATCTTTTTTTAATCCAGTCAGTGGAAGTTTAGAAACTAGAACCAGATTATCTCAGCTATGAAAATTGGCTGAATTAGCGGAAACTTCAGGGATGGAATGTTATCCAAGTACGTAAACTCACAGTTATGGATCACAAACACAAGGTTTCATTACCAATCTCAATGAATCTATGGCTGGTATTATTAAAAAAAATCAGGTAAGAAAAGATTCCTCTTTCTATTCTGTGTTCTTTGCTGCTAATGTGAAGCACAGAGTTTGGCATTTACTCATAGATGCACATATGGTGATTCCAGTTGACTCAAAATAGCTCCATTCTATGAACCCAAAGTTGAGATATTTTTTTGTGTGAATTGGAACTCCACAGCTTTTCCTCAGTTCTGTCTCTTTGACTGTAAGGATACATAACACCAAATCTGCAGGCTTTGAACCTATCTGCAGGGAAAAATCTGTTCAGAACAAGTTATAAACTAATTTGCACTTAGTTTGTCATAGGAAATATAAGGACTTTTCTTGTTCATCAGTTTCCTGGATTGACCTAGGCAAGCAAGGATATTTGCAGACTGTGTTTTGGTAACTGAGTATGCTGTTACATGTTTTTAGAATGGTGTTGCAAATGGACAGGAGCTCTTAGTGTTTTTGATAGAATCAAAGAAACACTTGATGTTGATTTTCAGTAGTATTTTGTGATTTGTGTAGGGAGTAGTAATTAAATTACACTTACTTTGCAGTATTATATTTGCAACTGGACATAAATGTTTTGGGTTTTGTTTTGCTGTCTTCAGCCTATAATGTTTTTAACATTTATCTAAATACTGTGCAAGTCACATGTCAGTCAACAAAGTGAAACAGCATCTCTGTTCAAGTTTTGTTTACTGTAAAGATCCTGAGCTTCTTAATAAATTTTATATCAGCATCTGGATTGTCTGGAAAAAAACACCTCAAAAACCAACAGTCCAGGATATCCTTTGTTGCATTTTTGCATTTTTCTATTTCCAGTTTCTTTCATTTGTAATCCTTTTCCCTCCATTAGATTCAGTAAATAGGATCTCTTACAGGCCTGCACCATAGTCCATCTTTTATCTTTCTTTTCCATGCTTTGCAGCAAATTTCAGTACTGCAGATGTCTGTAGTAGCTCATCTCTTACCAAACTGTGTTTCTTCAGCTCTGGAGCAGTGGTTGTAGCCAGGCTTTAATCTCCCCTGCGAGGGAGCAGGAGGAGCTGGGCACCACCAGGTGCTCTGCTCTTAGAGCTCTGGCCTGGCCTTCAAATGCTTCCTTGGGCTGCTGCTGTTACTTATTTCTCAACTCTGAAAAAGAGGGAAGATGGAAACACATCAGTTTTGCAAAAATGTGTAAATCCTCATTCCAGGGCAATTATTTTCTTGAATAAAGTAAAGCCATCTTCTGTGATTGCTGTTGCCCAAAACAGGGCTTACGGGTTGTGCTCATAGATGATTAACTCCAACAAAGAGAAAAACTGTTCTGCTGACAGCCATTTGTGAGCTTTCATGGCCTGTTACTCCTCCACACCTGCTGGGCTGCATATTTCAGACTCTTTGGGAAGATACCTGCTTGTTTATAGAAGCAGAGTTTCAGGAATGCCAACAAAATGTTTATTATGACTACTTGTTAACTCTGTAATGCAGAAATGTCTTGGACGTCCAATGAAACTGTTACTGCTGCTAGATGGAATGAGCAGGATGGATATGACATGGTTTATTTTTTCTTTCTTCGTTCTTTCTTTTTTTTTTTTTTTTTCTTAAAATGACTATTTAAGTTTTTAGGTGTCATCAGGTTCCATCTCCCCTTCCACAGCAAATAAAAGTATAATGCATTTCCTTTGTTGATTTTTCAGGCATTCAAAAGGGATGTTCTTGCTGATTCAAGACCAAACAGTTCTGTCCAGGACTCTACACTGGGGATAAGGACATGGGACTCCTCCTGCCAGATTCCAGCTGGTTCATCACAACTGACATCTTGGCTGACAACTGTGAAAAGGATCTTCGGATTATTCTATTTTATTTTTGTGGGAGACCACAATCCCCAAACTCTAGGACATATCAGGTACTAAATCAAACACTGAACTTTTCCATAACATTAATGGATTTTTATTTGTTCCTTGTGAAGGAGTTTAGGCATTCAGATCTTACTCTTTATTTCTTGTAGGAAATGGAAAATCCTTGGTTTTACATCTTGCAGTAGCTGAGTAATGACAAGGAGTTGTGTTTCTTATTTCCTATGGAAAATTTGGGGTTTAATTATTAGTTATGTTTATATTGCATTTAAAATTATTATAATAAATTGTAATTGCTGATCATGGTTATTATCCTAATTACCAAATTGTTTTTCTTTCTTCTTTGTTGTTTTTGAGAGAATGCTTAATTTTATTAAGACTAGTTTTGCTACAGTTTGTAGGTTAGATAATTCCTGCATTCAGAACATGTCCAGTTATTACCTGTCAACAAGGAAACTTTAAAAGTTCATGAAATTTATGAGTGTTTGCACACTTGGGGTGTTGTGATTCACGTATTTACTTCCAACCCTTTTAAGATAAATCTATATGTAATTTTCTTCTCCTTTGAGAAAATCTTGCCTTGTTTCTGTTGGAGCCTAGTTTGATTTGGAGTATCTGAATGTTCAGGTGTTTATTTTTAAAATGTGGAAGAGAAAATCTGTGAGTATTATCCAAGAGTGTAGCTCTCAATTCTTTTTTGTGTAGATGTCTGCTGTTACAGACCACTGATAAAAGTGGTTAAAAAGACATTACTCCTTCTAATACAAGACAGAAAAAAGTGTCATAGCAGAGGGGGGATCCTTTTTGCAGCAAAGTCATGTTTATTTTGGGTAGCTGTTTAGGTATGGGTGGCTTTTTAATTAATTTTAAATTACTCAATAATTCACTTTTTCTTTGTCCTAAAGGTTCCATATTTCTTGTAGAATTTTAAAATAACCTTGTCTAATGAGGATGTCTGATATTCTTACTGTAAAAGATGAAACTGATGCAATGAAGGGTTCAGAAGCTGAATTTAAAGATACAGACCCAGTTGAAAACCTAAAAAAATCAGGAAGTCAGGAAGAGATTCAAGTGGAAAAGGATGAAAATTGCCCTGATAACAAAAACAGTATGCCGGTAAGAAGCTTTTCACTTCATTCTTCATTAGTATATCATGTTAAAGTCTGTGTCTTGTTGTTCTCCATTCTCTTGATCCTCTTATATGTTTCTTTGGTACAGTGAGGAAAACTTTGTTGGTTTTAGGGAAGCAAATATGATGATTATTGCTTCCTCTCTCCTCCTTTGCCCCACTTCTCTGTTATACTCATGTAAATATGACTCAGTCATTTTTCATTCTGTGAAGTAGATGAGTGGTTTTGCTGGGAAGCAGACAATTTGCCCATGTTTGTGTTTCCCTGAGTGCATATGTGAAGTCTTCATTGTAGCAGAACAAGGAACAAACTCAGGCTGGCTTTTGCTGCTGCTGAATCCTGACAGAGTTTGGAGCTGGGCTGTGTGTGTTGTGTTTCTGCTTTGAACATGGTGCTGCAGCTCAGCTAGGCCTGTCTGCCCTGGGCAGGGGTGGCCAGCCCAGGGCTTTTGAGCTGTTGCACTTTGCAGGTGGCTCAGATGTAGATTTTCCAGTAGAGCTGTTCAGCATAAGGCTGAAGTAATCAGCCGTAGGTAATCCAAATCCCCAGGAGCCAGAGGGATCCAGAGCTCCTGAGGCCAGCAGGTCTGAGTGCTGCCCCAGCCACTGCAGAATGAGCTGGGGAGCATCATCCTGCCTTGGTGGGCAGCAGATACTCCCTGCACCTTCTCTTCTCTGATCTTCTCTGCTTGACAGCTTTGGGAGGTGACTTTTGGGTAGGAAAACTGAGGCGGTTCCTTGTGCACGCGCTGAAAAGCTGAGGCATATAAATGGATGGCTTTTGGAGGTGGGAGAAGTGAAGTACCTGTAAGGAAGTCGTGGCATCACATTTCAAGTGAGAAGGAGGCAAAGCAAATAGTGTGAAAATACCTTGTGTGGATGGAGAACACACTGATAAGGAAGGGTTGGAATTTGTGGCAGCACATTTAGTCTAATCTGAGATTTAGGTGTGGGACAAGAACTCACTCCTGGCTGAGGCTGCCCACCTGGTCACTGAGCACTGTAAGTAGCTCACATGAGGGGAGGAGTTCAGGAAAGCAACAGAAAATTTCTGACACAACCTACAAAACAGGCCAGATTTGTAAAAGGAAACAGATAAACTTGTGTTTGGCAAAAGCTTTAGTTGTCTATAGGAATTTTGTGTCTGTGGGTTAATACTAAACAATTTTTTTAGAGAAGTCCTGATTGGGATCTGAGGGATCTCTTGTGGGTTGCAAAAACAGGACAGTAGCTTATTAGATTCTTGTTATTGAGATTTGAGTAAAAGGTTCTTTGGGGAGTAGTTTTGTTCAAGACTAACAATTCAATATTCCACTGGGTGAAGTAAGGTTTATCTGCTATGTTAAATTGCTTCCAGATAAATCTTGTAGACCACTGCAATAACAATAGTTTTACACTTTAATATCTGCTGGCTTTATTAAGGCTGGCATCAGTGTAAATAGATAGTTTTATGGAAAAAATAAATCCTTGAAGTGAAATATTTCTCCTGTAACATGAGAAATAACTGCTGCTGAAAAGCTGGGAGATATTATAGCTGAGCTGGTATTTTCTTTAATTAATGAAATATTCTAGTACCTTAAAAATTAATCTACGGTTTAGTTATTTTCATACAGTTCAGTAATTTGGAAAAAATCTCATTCACATTTTCTCATTTAACAAGTTTTAGTGTGGAAATTTCTATGAGACTCAAGTGGCAAGTAAGAAATAAGCCTTCCTGCAAACAACTGCTGCTGTCTCGTCAGAGTGCAGAGGAATGAACCTGCCAGTGCTGCCAGGGGCTGTGGGCTGGCAGGGGGTTCATTGCCCAGCTGGGTGCTTGTTCAGGAGCAAGAGCTGGTGGCTGAAGTGATTGTCTCACATCCACTAAATGGACTGGACACTGCGTGGTGAAGGCTGTTGGATAGAAACAGCTCTGCTGTCAGTGTGGTGTCCTGGAGTCTCCATCAGAATCAGAACATTGCTGTTACATGAGCAGTTTAATTCAAAACTGAGGCTGAGGATGCAGATTTCCAGAGTGGCAGAAAGATAGACAGTTACCAAATGGAACCTGGCTACTGTGAGCAAACCCCTTGAACAACTGAAATCAGCAGAAGTTAATGTCACTTGTACTGTGGAGGCTGCCAGTGCAAATAAATGTCTCATGTGAGGGTTTCCCATTTAAAGCATATTTTATGCTGAAATACAAAACAAAAATTTGGGGTTGTCCACAGTAAAAAAACGCTTGTGGAACAGTAGCAGTCAGCAGGTTTTTATCTAATGGTTGGTCAAAAAATTTGATGAAATTTCAATTGACATAGTACTTGTCATTAAGTGCAGGTTAAATGTTACTGTGGTGATGGGGAAAAGAGCAAAGAATTTGCTGAGAAATGCTAGAAAATATTACCAGAAACTTACTGGAATTTGTTATGTACTTCTGTTTACTAACTGAGTGCTTCAGAGGATGGGTTGGTCATGGGGGTTGGGTTTGGCTCTCCTCCCTGGTGGCAGAATAGGTTTGGTACCTACTGACAAACTACAGTCACATTCCTCAGTACAGTTAACACTTCATCACTTTGACTTCTTTAAGCCATGGAAGAAACAGGCTGTGATTTTTTCCTCTGTCTGAACTTGGCATTCCATCAGTGGAATGCTCAGTGATAAATTTAATGCTCAATTTATCCAGTAGGTCATCTAACCATGTCCCATCATCAACTTTGATCTTAGCTACACCTTCCTTCCATTGCTGTATGCTCTTATGAATGAATTCTGAATTATCAGATAAGTTCATGCAACACATTCCATCATGGGCCATTGAATTCAGGCATGTTTCTGGAACAGCACAGTTCAGAAACTGATGGTTTTATTTTGAAATGCAACTGTGGTTGTAAATTCCAGATTATTTGGAAGTTGTGCATTAATAACTGATTGGCTGCTGCATCTGGAGGTACGATGTGAATGAGGAAAATACCTAATTACAGTACATGGCCAGCACTCCCCATTTCTTTAAGCAGTGCAAAAGTAGTGTTACTGATACAGAGAACATTTCTGAACTGGCATATTTGCAGTGAGGTTCAAGTGTCGTTTAAATGGCACTGGAGACAAGAGGCACTGTTAAGAAAAGTACCTTCACAGAAGTCATGTGCACATCAGCACTGTGGTTGGTTTTGTGATCAAAAGGGTTTTGGTTCACCAGTCGCTGTTGTCTCCCACCTGTTCATCTTACCCAGGCCAGGTGACAACCAATGAATTCAGAGTTAGCTGGAATACAGGGTCTGTGTTGCTGCCTCTGACTCTGGGGGGTGAGACAGGCAGTGTCATCCACTGTAAGGACAAAGCTGCAGGAAATGCTGACAACAAATTCAAGATCCTGGATTTATCATGCAAGTTAGTCCCTTATTTTTATTATTAGGAATACTTCTGTTTTAAAACCCAAAAAAGCCTCATGGCATGAGTGCAGGGTGGTACCCATCTACTCTGTGATAAAGTCAATGCAAATGTTGTGTTAAGTGAGTATAATTCTGGTTTTGTTTTATGCTAATTAAGCAGATATCCTTGTCCTTTGGGGCAATTAGATAATTTTTTTTTACTTAGCAACTTGACATCTCTCTTCCTATGGGTGTCTTCCTTCTGTACTAGCACAAGCCTTGATCATCTTCAGCTGTGAAACAGAGAGGGTTCTCTGAAGTCTTTCTTTGCCTCCTCCCCAGCTCTTTTGGTCTTGTCAGCATTTAGCTGTCTTTGTCTCCAAAATATGGGATGTAATCATTTTGAATAGATCAATGATTGGGCAGATTCTCTTATTCTTGAGCTGCCTCCATGTCCAAGGGTGAAACTATTTTTCCATCAGTCATCCTCTACTGTGTCATGGAAAATTGCTGTCACTGCTCACTAATGCAGGACAGCAAGTAACCATGGACCACACTGTTCTTTCCCTCACCATTACAAAGCTATCCATGGTTCTTGGGACTGCAGCACTTGACTGGATTTAAAATTGAGACCTAATTTTGCAGAAAGGTAAAAAACTGAATGTCCTTAGAATGCTTTTTGTTCAGATTTGTCATGTTATGCCTATCCTCAGAAATGCCCAAATGGTACTTCAGAAATAAAACCTCTTCTCACAAAACCTTTCACACGTCTGAGTTTGCCATCTTGTGCCTGACCTGTTTTTATCCAGCTTGTTTAGACAGCACAGTGATGATAGAACAAGGCATGTAACAGCTCCAGATCTTTACTTTGCATTTAGTATATGTGAGCTGGTGAAGAACTTAAGAAAAAACAAAGTAGACAAATACTCCTACTGAAAACCTGGTTATTTATATGTTTTTGATAAAAGCTGCCTTACTTCCCTTTTTATTTTGCAGTTGGAAATGCAGTATAGTAGTTGGTCTTAAAAGTTGTGTTGATGGGGTTTTATCAAAGGCAAGAACCTAATAATTATTTTCATTATGCAATTATTTGAAATACTTGCTTTTAAACACTGCCTTGAAACCCTGCTCATAATGGCTATAAATAGGGCTTTCATTAACACAGTGTTTTCTTAAGGCAGTGAAAGTCTTTGAGAGCTGCAAATATAAAGAAATTGCCTAATTTGCACTCACCGAGGATTGCATATTCTAAATGAGCTACAAATTATTTTTCACAAATGGGGAACATAAAGATGTTCTGTATGAGCAAAACTTCGTAAATGCAGAGAAATTAGGACAGAGATAAAACTCATGGGCCTGAAAAGAGAGAAAATGTGCATTAACAGCTACCATGTACATTGGCTATCTGCTGTCCTGGAATTCCAGTGGAAGTGGTGTCATCCTCTGGCAGTGTGATTTTTCCCAAGAAATGAATCACTGGATTGTACCCACCCATCTCCAAGCTCTGAGAGGGCAGTTCCTGGTGGTGTCAGAGGAATTTGGGGTTTGTGCTTCCAGGCCAGACCTTGCACCATTGGGCTGTGCTCTCCTGAGCTGTCCCTGCAGCCCGGCCCCACCAGCTTTGTTCCAGTGCCTCTCACCTGACGTGTGGTGTTACTGCTCACAGTCACAGCTGGGTCTTGGGGACTGGGATTTTGGGTTTTGACATCCTTAAAGTCACCCAGGGAAGCCAGGAGTCCACACCTATCACAGGACTGTTGGACAGGGCAGTTGTTTCTAGATGAGAAGTTTGAGTATGATGGATGGAGTTATACTTTTCTCATCTGTGAAGGAAAAACCTCCCTCTTACAGTGGCCCTCCAGCTCTCCCCAGTATTATTGGTATTTAGTCCCAGCAACCATTTCTTCTTTTTTTTAAATCACTTAAGTCACACGCATTTCAGTTATTTTTATCTAATTAGTGAGCAGTAGCTCGATGTCCTGTATAACTGGGTTGAATTCCCTCTTGTGCCCTATCAAATCTGGATCTGGGTGTTTGCTTCCATATATTCTTTTGGCTTATGTACTGGCTTCAAAGCTTGCAAAATTTTGCAAAAAATAAATAAACAATTGCCCGAGTATAGATTCGTTTGCCTCTTGACAGTGAACTGAGGACTCCACTGGCAGTCCTGATGTGACTTTAAATTTGCACTACTTTATTTGAACACACCTAAGCTGATTCAGGCTGGAGTAATTGATAGGAGCTTGGGAAATCATCTAGTTTTTGAAATTTAGTAGCTTGGTGTAACAGAAACTTTGTCAGGGATATGCAGTGCCAGCTTTCAGAATGCAAGGAATGCTTTCAGAGGAGATGATGGAAAGAAAAACATATTTTGCACGTAACAGAAAAACTCAAAGTCTCTGTGTGGTTCCAGGTACGGAAACAGCAAAACTCAGAGTCTGAATGGTTCCAGGTATGAAAGCATTTGAACTGTCTTTGCTGCTCAAAATCTCAGCAAGCTTCCTTTAAAAAGCTGGTGGTGAGTTCAGTTAGTTTTCAGTGCAGCTATTTAAAATTCTGTTACAGAGTGAAATGAGCTCCCCTTCTGCTGCTCCTCAGCTAAGCTGGTGCATCATCCAAAATAGACATGTGGGACATGAGGAAAACGAGAGAAAAAACTGTTCTGCCTTTACATGGTGGAGCTCTTTGCTGTAGGTGAGGTGCCTTTTTAGTGATGCTGTATGCCCTCCTAAGAAGTTCAGGCACTTGATAGACATTTTCTGTGAGCTAAGGCAAGGACAGCTGCATTTATGGAGTTTTCCAGTGGAGTTTCTATTCAGTTTCCTTTTTAAAGGAGGAAATATTGTCCATTAAACAACACTTGATATTGCATTACTGATGTTAATTTCTCCTTACAAATATTAGGCCTGTGTTCACTAAAACCTGTTCTGTTAAAAGCTTGTCTATTCATCAGTTTTAGTTCTCCAGGGAAACCAGTATTTAAATTATGTGATGCCACATAATGTTTCTATTCTTGTGCTACTGGCACTGAGGGTTGAGTTAGTTTTAACTATGCAGTTAACAAATCATTAAATGCTTTTGTTGATTCAAATGTACCTTTCCACTGTGCATATTGTAGTAAAAGCCTGGTAATTTTTTTTAAGAATCTATTGTAATAGAAGAAGGGCTTTGGGAGGAAAAAGCGAATTATTGCATAATAAGTTACTAAAATGGCTCTGGGAGGAGAAAAAGCATATTAATTCATAGTAAATTACTAAATGAAAAAAAATCAGTAGCCCATTTTAAAATATACTTGTATAGGTCCCAAGATGAAAGAAAAAAAACCCACATGTTTTAAGCTGCTCATGATAGGTTATCATCTGTTATCTGTTCCCTCGGTAGAGGCAATGCTTTCCTTTTTTTAATATAATTTTTCTAGGTAGGTTTCAGGAGTAGGAAGAAAATTTATAAAAACCATGTCATGTTGCCAAGGAAATTAGGAAACAAGAATTGAAAGCGTAGCTGAGAGCTAGCTGAGAGAGTGAACTGCTTGGATGCCACTGAACAGGGATAATACTCGGTTCCTGTAAAAGTGCTCTGATACCTTTTGTTGATAAATGAAGAAGGGAAATCAAGGACAAGCCTGATGAAAGCGGCAGAGCTCCGAATCCCAGCCCAAAGCACCTGCTGTTCCTTTCACAGATCTGCCCGTGTCAGTGCTAACTGTCAAAGCTTTCTCTTGTACAGCCTTTTGCATTAACAAACTTGTGCCCTGAGCTAACGTAACCCTTCTCTGTTGTGCCTGTCGCCAGCGGCCAGCGCAGTCCTTTGCACAGACGGCCAAAAGGTCCAAGGTACGGTAGCCCGGTGTGCTGGCATGCGAAGGGAGCCCTTCATGCTTGGTGCAGCTTCGTTACTTTGTGGAAAGTGCCTTTAGTTTTCTTTTTTGGCATTGTAGCTTTGTTTTATTCTGTTGGATTTTTGTCTTGCCTAGTTGTTTGCTTTTGTGATTTGCCTTTATATTTTTGGTGGCTTTTTATTGTTATGGAGAGAAACACTTTCCCAACATTTTATTTACTTTTCTTTAGATGTGCTCTATTGTGCTGGTAGTGCCTTCAAAAGCTGCAATTGCTTGGGTATTTTCATCCTAAAGGGAATTATTTATTCTATTGAAAACATGAAAAATTCCATTTTCAGCCATTTTGTTTTTCATATAATGAATGAAAAAAATAATGGCTTATGGTATATTTATAATATCTTTTATAAGCCATAGATTTTAATTTTACATACTTTCCTTTAGTCAAACACAAAGTTAAAGTTAGTTCGGAGCCTTGCTGTATGTGAAGAATATCCACCACCTCCCACAGCTGAAATATCCCAGGACCTCCAGGTAAAAATTACCTTACTGAAGTTTCTGGAACAATTTCAAGTAACTTCTTGTTCAAAAGAAAGTCTGTTGGGTATTCTTTAAATATGTGGATACCATTTGTTTTTTTTTTGGTTTTTTTTTTTTTTTTTTTTTTTTTTTTTTTTTTACTACTGGTGTAATAGAGGTGATAATATCAGGTGCAGAATTTGCTGCTTTGTTTTTCTGAACTATACTAGTTGATATCTGTGGGCAGAAAGAGAGGCTTTGTCAGTTCTTTTAACATATTAGTTCAGCAGTGCACTTGAGGGACTCTAAAACTGCTTAAGTTCTGTCTGCAATTAGTAAGACAGAAACGTTGTGATTAGTATGGAGCCTAATTTATTGTCTTTGTATATTTTTGAAAATGGAAACAGTTGTGATGTCTGGTGTTGTAACTGAATTTCTGCATATTAGTCCCAGTTGCTGGTAGCTATGTAATACCTGCCTGAGGTATATCTGAATTAATCTATTAAAATTATAGAACACACTTACAGAAGTTCCTACATGCTAAACAAAATATGTAAAATTACTTTAGAGAATTTAAACAAAATAAATGTTTCCTGACTTTACCTCCATACCAGTCTGGATTTTCAGAGCAAAACCCTGCTGCTGGCTTTAGTTCTGTGCATGAGTGAGGGCCATCAAAATGCTGGGTTTGTTCATGCCTATCAAAACAGGAATGGGCCTTTGCTGTTTTTGAAAAGCTTCTAAACTGTGCTTTTGTGAAAAGTCTCCCTTTGGTTAAGAAGGAAGCAGTAGAAAGCAGGATGTGAGGGGGTTTTGCTGGAGAGGGGGTAATTCAGTCCTGAGAAAAGATGGACATTGAGAGCTCTTGTAGGTTTTTGTCAAGCTAATTAAATTTTTTTGAGACTGAAACAGTAGGTTTGGACTGAAACCCTCCAGGTTTGTGAGAGTTTTGTTCCTTTCGAAAAATAAGAAAATGGTATTTTTGTAGGCCTTTACTAATATACCAGAATTTGAAGTGTTGACTAGAGGAATTCAGAAACTGGGCCTGCTACCATGATGAAAATCTAAGTCCTAGTTTGGAATGGGTTGCAGAGTAAAGGATTAAAAGCCAACAGAAAAGTTATTGATGTTTACAATGATTTACAGTTCTTTTGTAATGTTTCCCATAAGATAACAAAATAGACTGAGACATCTGGTCAGGCTGAGTTGTTCAGTCTGAAGCAGTGGGGTTTAACTTTGTCAGTCACTGTAGCAAATTACAAGACAGACACCTGATTTGGTGGACTGATCATCTGTGGCGTATTTCCAACATAAGAGGCATTAGGATTTTTCAGCCTCCAGCACTACACAAGACCATGTGTTGAATGATTTAAAGTCAGGCATTTATAAGGTGGTGTTTGTGGCCAAGTCCTCTGGGAATCTGTCCCTAGCTTTGTGCTGCCAGGTGGCCCTTGAAAGGAGTCTTTGCAGCAGCAGGAGGGATGTCAAGGCTGGTTCTGCAGAATGAATTGGATTGTGTGATAATGTAAGTTGGTACTAAAGGAATACCAGAAAGCAGCTTGCCTTAAGAACAAAATTAGAGCTAGCTGTGAGTTTTCTTTGGAAGCAGTAATGTAGAAGAAATGGCTTATGAATCCCAATAGCTGTGCAGAGAATGATTGCTAGAACAAATTTAGTTCTTCCCTGGAGGGTGGAGAAATGTGTTGGAGAATTAGAAGTGGGAATCTGTTACAAGTTCTGATGCTGGGAGTGCAATCCTGTGGGGCAGAGGTCTCCCATGACCCTCTGTAACAACTCACACAGGCAATTTCTTCACCCATTTTGCCTCCTTTCCCAAACTATCTTTGGGAAAGCATGGGAGACCTCTTCATATGTGCCAATCAGCTGCTGCAATTGGGACTAATATGCCTCCAGCCCCATACTCTGAAGCGTTAATTGTGCTTGGGATGTGTGGGAGATGGCTCAGAGAAGGAAGAGCCTGCCTTGCACAGGTGTCCCTGGCAGCAGGAGAATCACTTCTTATGCTCCCCCTTCCTGGAAGAGTCACTGCTTTGTTGTATCTGTGATTGCAACTAAAAAGTGGCTTCCAGTTTAGTTTTAAGACACAGGACAAATTAAATTCAGGATAGTGTTGCTGGTGATGTTTGAAGAATCACAATTTTCAGTTATTAGAAAGTGTTAGGCTTGATAGGAGGAAAAATATATGTACTTAATTAGGGAGTGGTGTGAGTTTGGGGATAACTCCATGGTTTTGTCTATGACTGTCCATGAGTCACCCCTTCACACCAGCAGCTCTAGCAGGGTGAAATTCCTGGCACAGGTTGGTGCAGGAGGCACATAGCAAGGCACCACTGGCTGCTTCTCCTCAGAAGGCTGTGATGGAAGAAGGTGACAGACCAAAGAAATTGTCTCAAGCAGATGAATTTGCTTTCTAATCTATGTTTCTATTTTCAATTGCAACATGAAGGAAGATACTGTTTCTTCCTGAGAAACCTAGATAAGAGCCTTGCATATTTTTAATACTTGTTAAAAAGCACTGGTAGCCCTTTACTGAAAGGTTCTGTGAAACTATAAGCTTACAAATTTATTGCGAGAGGAAGAACATAACTGTGATATGTTTGATCTTTTATCTTTGTAACACTAACTCTATATTCTCTTGCCATCATTTGTGTAAACATCAGGTTGTTCTGACTCTATTTTCTAATACAAAGTACAAGCACTAGCAAAGGGTGATCCAGTTCAGCCCTTTTTAAGGAAGAGCTGTTTACATATGAATGACAGTTGTTATTATGAGTAACAAGTAAATAAATCTTCAAAAGGTTGACCTTTCTAAGCAAAGTAAAATAGCCCAATGGAGAGGCAGTGGGAGGAGAAGGCAAGGGGATGTAATGTTAGTTTCTATTGACTTATGTTGGTTTTTTCTGCTAGAAAGCCCATCCTCAGCATGTAGGCCTTTGAGATATATTCTTACCTTTTTCCCAAATATGTTAAGCTGGCAGGATTTATCAGGTTTTGATGGTTTGGGACATCTTCCTGTTTATTTGGCCTTTTCTTGTTTAATCAAAATTTGATGACAGTTTCCTCTTCTACAATGAGGGCTTGGGATCGGTGATCAGAGTTAGGGCAAGGAGTCTGTTCAGTCCAAATGCTAGCAGAGGCCTGCTGCAAACAGGGTGGGATTAAGAGAGTTTTATAGGGGAAGAGAAGTTAAAAGATTTTTCAGCAGCTTTCCAGTCAAGTAGGTCATATTTAATTAGATGCTATAGTTTTTATAGCATGAAATCACAAGAAAGTGCCCTTTGGTACCCCGTTCTGGTGCATCACACTTTGAAGCAGAGCTGGTGGTAGTAACAGAACTGGCTGTTCAGATGGTGATTCCTTTTTTTAGCTCTTGTTGGGGAAGGAAGTATGAAAATGATTACTTGCTTTGACTAAACTATTGCTGTGTGCATTACTTGGAATGAGTTTAGAAGTTGCAGTCACTTTTCTAGTGAAGAAAATCAGACTGAAAATTTCCTTAATTTACTGATAGTTTTGTAGAGTGTTATTGTAACATGGAGGATAACATTAGTGAATCCAAGTCAGGAACAATTTCTTAATAGGACAGAAACATTTCTTTCTCAAGTAAAGGTTACACAGCTACTTGGTGAATGGTGAGTGTAGAGCATTTTGTAGTGACAAATGAATTGCTCATTTGAATTACCCACCGGTTTATGAGGCAAGGAATGCAGAGACTTGTTCTGGATCCTTAAGGTTTGTAGCCAAGTGAATTCTCAAGACTAGGAAAGAATCAGATGAGAGAGTTCCTTGCTGGTTACTGGGGATGGTGTTTATCAGATGTGGTTATAGGTCCTGTCCAAAGCTGAGAAGGCTTCATTGACACGGAGTTGTTGTTGTTTAGTGGGTGTTCATGAATTAGGAAGTTTAATTGGAGCATTTATTATGGGGAAAAGTCATGATGAAAGGGAGAGCTGGTAAAACTCTCAGTGACTGTTTTTCCCTCACTTGAAAAAGTTGTGGCCCCAAAGCTGCAGATGGGAACTGCAAAGCCTGGGTGGTGCAGGGCTCCCCCTGTGCCAGCACCGGCAGGAGTGGCTGCAGGCTGGGCACGTGAACAGGATCCAGCCTGGTGGATCCTGGCTAAATTTAACTCTGGCTGCATTCCACGGGTGAGATCAAGGCTGTGCAATGACACAAGAGCAGAGCTTAGAGCAAGAGCCTGGATGTGGGTAAGAAGGGGTTTGAGGGAAGAGTGAGGACTTGTGTGGGAAAGGATTAAGGTGCAGGGCAGAAGGGGGATAGGCAGGAGTGCGTGAGGGGCCGTTCTCAGGATTGGGAAGGGTTAGATGCTGTCAGGAATGTGGAGGTGACAGCATGGACTCAGCTGGCATCTGGGGGAGCAGAACTGTCATTTGAGGGAGTTAAAAGGTGACAGGGGAGTCTGGTTCTGACAGGACTTTGCCACTGCTCCCGTGGGAGTCCCTCAGGCACAGTGAGTCCATTGCTCCCGAACTCCTCGGCTCTGGCTGTCTGAACTGTGTTGGTCCTCCACTGACAACCTCCTGAAACAGTACAGGGGTATGAAAAACAAACTGCAGTCTTGCACTGTTCAGGGTATTTAGGGGACCATTATGTCACTAATTTCAGAGGGAAACTTTTTGCTGTATTTGAGAAAGAGGTTTTATAATAGTTCACCTACTGGTATAAAACCATGGATTTTGAGGTGGTTGCATACAAAGCTACTCTATCAAAATACACAGGAAGTTATGAAACTAAGCCTTGATGACAGGTCTGCAAACTTTGCCTTGATGTATTGTACTGTAAATATTTCCCCTTTTTGTGGATCTGGAAATGCTGGTCTTAGAATTTTTTGTTTTGTTTTTTCTTGGTATGAAACAAATCAAAACTTGAAACAAGCTTTTACAGTGAAGAATGGAGAGGAAAAAAGCATTGTGGATGAGACATGACTTAAAAATATAGAGGCAGTGTAAAATTTGGACATCTGAAAAACCGGAATATTTTCTTACATGTGTGGCGTAAGATACTTTGAATTCACTTTGCAGTAGCATTCAGGGCCTGGAAGTGTGTGTAAATTCTAAAATATCTGTGATCCTTTCTATGCCTTCTCTGTACACTCTGATTTACTGATAAATTATTTCATTGTGTGGTAACATGGAGCACATGTGGAATCAGAATATATAAAATTTTTTTTTGTTGTTGCTTCATTATTTTGCAGGTAATATAGTACAGAACATTCTCCTGCAGGTGTTATTTGAAATAATTTGTGTGGTGACTGATTTTTACTTTTTGACAGGAGAAAATTCAGATTCAGTTGTCACAGTCTTTTGAAAAAGAAGAAAAACCTGCAAAAGATGAATCAGAAAAGGAAAAATCCAGTGATAAACTGTCCAGAAAAATGTTATCAAGAGGTTTGCTTTTTCTCCTTGTGTTATTCAATATACTGTATAGATAAAGAACATATGAAAATACAGTTCTGCTTCCAGGTCTTCATTGCATAAACATTGCATTATTTTTTAAAATTTGATTTGCAAATGAAGCAAATAGATCAGACACCTTTGAGCTAGAGGAGGAATTGGTCCCCAAGGAAAGAGAGCTTTAGAGACTTCATCAAACACTCCAGCAAAAGCTTTTCCTTTCTGTCATGTCTGACTGTGCAGAGCAACATAAAAAACCAGCTGTGTTGTCTCAGCTGTGTCCAAGTGTTCTTTAAGCTGACTTTACGAGTCAGTGGAAGCTCCTGTCTTGTTCCTGGGCTTTGTTATAACAGGACTGGTGAAACTCAAGTGAGAATGGCAGAGCTCCTTTTGTACTTTTTCAGATCCTCATTCAACAGGCATCAGAGTTCTCCTTTGTTTATTTTAATTCTGATAGTATCTAGAATTTTTTCAGTAAAGTTTTGGAGTAAGGGTAGAACTACATAAATAAAAAGGACAAGTATTATGTTTTCACTTAAATATTCCTGCCTTCTGGATTAAGTTACAGTCTGTGTACTGAAAATCTATGGGTTTTAATCTGAAAGAGCTGTGAAATCAATGACATAAACTATCTTTTATAAAACATAAAGTTTATGTCCATGCCACCTGATGCCTCCTGCAGGTAGACTTTATGCATTTAAGTTGGCAAATCATTTTACAGCTCTTCCTTTAAATATCCAGAAGGTTTACCTAAATATCTTAGATCAGACAGAGTATAGGAAATACCTTTAGAGCTGGAATTCTTTTTCAGACAGGTGGCACTTGTCCATCTCATGTCCCACAATTCCATAAGGCATTCCTCTTGGAATTTCAATGCAGCTTGTCCCACCTGGCAGCCAGGTATTTGTGAAACAAAAAGCAGTGGGATGGAGAACTTAACCTGCATTTATAAATCTCAGTCTTTGAAATGATGCCTTAAACACCACCCCCAAATACCCAACTGGTAATGATGGGGGAGTTGAGAGCAAAGTAACAAAATGCCTGTTCTGAATTCAGCCACTCTCTCCTCTGAAGGTTGATTACTTCCCAATATAGGATATGCCAAAATAGAAAATTATGGAATTTTAGCATCAGTTCTAGTAATTACAACTAAATCATTGCTCACTTGCAAATTAGAAAAATTGAAGTAAATAATTAGTGAATTTTGACGTTTTTACCAGGGATAGTCTCTTTTTTTTTGCCTTCTCTTCAGAATCAAAAGTAATTACAAACCATAAATGTTCAGACTTGGTTGGTTTCACTTAAACTCTCTGGGCAGCTGGAAGAGCTGGGACCTGGACATAAGTTTGAGTTGTGCCTAACTAAGTTGAGACTAGGTTAAGACATAAGTAGTTCTTGGAAGGCATCTAGTTCCAAACATACTGTTCCAACACCTGTTGGTTTGAATCCTAGTACCTGGGACCCAAAGGTGCTCATGTAAGGGAGTATTTGGGGTTAAATCATTCCTTTCAGGGACAGATTTTAGGGGATAGTATGTAACTGAATACTTTCCTTCACTGAAACCACAATGGAGGGGGAAGGTTGAGACTACTTTTGGAAACATCTAAACATGATGTTGTGCAAACAAAGCCCAACAGAACGAGGATTTTTAGTAATGCAAAGCAGCACCTTGTGAAGGTTAAACTGTTGCATTACAAAATTTCTTTGGGCAACATCCAGTAGTTGAGTAGATGGGCTGCTGCTGCTCCACAGACGTGTACACACACTGCAGTGTGGGATAGTTAGAAAATGTGGCAGGTTGGTGGAAATCAGGTCTCTCAAGGTGATTACCTGCTTCACAACATAGAGCCAGTTGTTAATAATAGTGGTGTTATTGAAACTTCTGCTTCTGCATTACCCTTGAATTAGGGGATAGTGGGTGGTGGTGGATTTTCTGTTTTGTTTTTGACTTGTAGGCCTTTTTCCTGAAAACTGGAAGCATTTAATTTTGGCAATAATGTACTTAATGGTTATATAGTATTGATCCATATATAGTATGTTTAGCAATAATTGGAAAACAGCTTCTTCAGAGTGTAATTTGCTCTCTTCCCCCTCACCCTTAGATTCCAGCCAGGAGTATACAGATTCCACTGGTATAGATCTTCATGAATTTTTAGTAAATACATTAAAAAACAATCCCAGGTAAGAATCAATAATGTCAACTTTCTTTATGTTTTTCTTTCTTCTTGTTGCCTGAGGCAACACACTACCTGTTTTTTTGTTTGTGGTTTTATTTTTCCCCCTCTTAAATGTCTAATCATCCATGTCAGTTATTCAGGAGGAGATTCTGTTGCACAGACTGTCTAAAACATTACTGTAATTGGTTTTCTTTTTGAGCAGAGGTTCAGGACACTGAAGTGGTTTAAATGCTTTTAATGCTTAATATGCAAATAAAGTGTTCAGTCTATGTGCAATTCTCTCCCTGAATGGGCTTCAGTACATTGTCTCTAAACCTTGTACTGTCTTGGCACCTGCTTGTTAGAGACCAAACTGCCTTCTCTGACCCTAATCTGTCTTGCACTGAATTTATAGATAAAGGCATTTTTAAAAGCTGTACCATATAACTGTAGTTAGAGAATTTCACTCTGCACGTGAGAAAACAACTCTGACCTAATCCGAGTCCATCATTTGCTGGCAACAGAGCTGACCTGGTTCTGTTGCTCTGAGGTTTGCAGTCTGTCCCTGTCTTGTTTGTTTTTTTCCCTCACTGGAGTTTTGTGCTGGCTTTGTGGCTGTAGTGCGAGGCAAGAAATTAACTTGGTGCAATAGTGCTCTGCCACAAAAGCTGTTTCACTGCTATTTGCTATTCATTCATATTATAGGTAGGACTTCCAATGTGATAATTTATTTGGATTCCATTTTATTCAGAATAAATGTGGCATAAGCCATCATACGGCCAAAGCCATAGTCCTGTAGAGTAAAATTAGAAAGCACAGACTTCTGTGAGACTTAGTAGGTGGTTCCTTTTTGAAGCCATGAAGCATCCCAGTGGAAACAAGGAATTGTAAGTGAAGAGCTCCATGTGTTTCCATGCACAATGACTGGGAAGCTTGGTTACTTGAGGTGCACAGATTATGAACTGTGCATCATTGGATTTCGTCGCATCTTAATACCTTATTAGAACTGCTCCAAGCAGTTTCAGGAAGAGTGTTCCTTCCTACCACCTCGAGTTTTAGCTTTTTTGTATTTCTAATATGTCAGCACATTGCCACATATGCCAGCTTTAAGCCCTTGGTTGTTGGTGATATGCCCCACCACTTTGTCACTGATCCCCTGATGTGCTTCACAATCCAAGGACCAGCTGAGGCCTCTGCACACTCCCTGCCCACACCAACCAACAAGGAACAACCTCAGCCCTGCTTTTCCTCCTGGAGCCTGTCTTCTCCATAACTGCACTTCCTACTGAGCCTCCTGGGCAGGGACTTTTTGGTGGATCTATGTACTCTGAATCTGAGAGCAAAACAGCATGGTTCAATAGAAAATAGCAAAAAAAGAAAACCTTGTCCTAAAAATTCTGCATTTGACACCTGCTGGTCCTATTTCCAGTCTGCCATCATCCCTTGATCACAGCTCTGATCTGTGTATTCTTAAGATGAATACAACTGCAGTTATTGGAGTGTCTCATATGTGAGTTGCTGTGTTTTTATTTTCAGGGACAGAATGATGCTGCTGAAATTAGAACAGGAAATTTTAGATTTCATTGGTAATAATGAGTAAGTACTGTACTCTCATAGGAAAAAAGAATTCAAGAGTGTTCCTGTTTATTTAATAAAGCTACTATTCCTTTCTTCCAGAGTACCAAGAAAAAAGTTTCCCCCAATGACATCTTACCATAGAATGCTGTTGCACAGGGTAGCTGCTTACTTTGGATTAGAGCACAACGTGGACCAGAGTGGGAAGTCAGTCATAGTAAATAAAACTAGCAATACAAGAATGTAAGTGTCAAGAACCTTGAAAAACCCTTTTGATGTAGCTCTAACGCCTGGGATGTGTGAGGCAGTGATGCTGTAGCAGGTGAGGTCTGTCTCCTCACTGGGAGCAGGCATCAAGGAGAGGTAGTTGAGAGCTGTTCATGTTCTTGTTGTGTAATGATGTGATGTGTTTCATGTTTGAATTCTTTTGGGAAAAGAAGGATGTTATCTCTGAGTTAAGAAATTTTGTTGCTTTTCTGGCAAAGATGCATTACTAATTTTGTTTCTGTGAAATACGAATTTGTAGCAACTGTTTATTTGTTTAAAGGTTTACACCAGTAAAGTGTACAAAGTACATTCTTTGTTTCTTTTGGATAGCAGAGCCAGCTCTTATCTAAGAACGGGGTCATTTCTGATTTGGTGAAGGGAGGGGACTTGCACAACTGTGGCTTTTGTATTGTAAAATTCTACTGGGAAAATTCAGCTGTTGAAGTTCTTCTGTTGAAATAATGTTGCTTACAGATCTCTCATGGCCTTACAAATAAACATAGCAGGGAAGACAGACATCAGTGGAAATGTCAACCAGGTTAACAAGCCATGGTGTGCTGCTTTACTCTGAGGGCTGGGGAGTTCTTGGAGAAACCCCCAGGAAAATCCCTATTGCAGAGAAGATAGCATTGGGGCCACAGCAATTCTGAAATCTGTGCGGAATTCAGGTTTTCATTCAAGGGACCCAGCTGTTCTCTCCATTCTCTGCACTTGCTCTGTCTCCTCATTCTCTCTCAAAAAGACAAAGTCTAATGTGTTGACATGTTTATGCCACCTAGTTTCCAGTTTTAACTTAGAGCATTTGCCTGACACCGTTTTTTGTTGGTGTTGAATATGAAAACAGGAGTTTACAGTGCCTGCATATCCTGATCTCAGTCTCTAGGTACACTCTTTATAGCTTTGGGAGAAAAAAAATCTAATTATCCACCCTATTTTAGAGTCAGTAGGACTGAAATGATATGCCACACTGAAATCTCACTTAAGTAAACAGTTTGTCTTTAGAAGTTTTAGAAATATATAAAGAGTCTAAATATATGTTGAATACTTGTATTATTTATGTATGTGTTTTTGCTTTGGCTGTACAATCTATATCTAAATTGACCCAGAAAGCCAAAAATTTCAAATCTGTTGCCTTTGCATCTACCAGCATCACTAGACTGAAGCTTCAGTCTACCACTTCAACTGTGGAATAAGAACTAAGAAAGATTATTTCATTTTTATGTTTTTAAAAGAACATATTTAAATAGCTTGTGGCCTCTGGAAGCCCCTGTAGGTGTAGTTACTAATTAGCAGGCATTTCATCTAACCTGCAGACATAAAGATTCTTGATGTTTTCAATATTCTTATTTTAAATCACTTTGGATACAAAATAAGAATTTAGAAAGAAAACCTTGGAGATCTGCTCCATGTGGAATAAAGCCAAACTTACCTTTTCCTCATAGGCAGGTTCGCGGCTCCCTCGCCGAGCAGGGATGTTACTGACATCAACCACCCAGTGCACACTGGCACGTCTCAGTGGAGTGGGAGTTGGTGATGGCAGGGCAGTAAATTCAGAGACCTTTAAAAGAAAGAGGTAAGACAGTCTAAAGGTTCTCTGAAATGCCTGCTAATTATGTTTGGGCAGCCAGTACCCAATAGGCAGGGCTGGCTGTTTCGTAGAAAAAGCTCCCCTCACTCCATCCAGAAGTTCTAGGTAATGATAAGTAACACAAATAGAGAAGAGCATACATATATTCTGTCCTCTATTAGACAAATATTTCCTGATTGTCTGAGCTCTTCTCTTATGATAGCAGTCATTTTATTATTCAGGTACTTGATATATCTCTTTAATAACAAGGATTTGCAAAATACCACTTTTTCTTTCACAAAATAGACAACATACCAAAGCAATATTTATAATCTGTTGCCTCACTCTCTCTCTATGACTGTGTGAAGCTCTTGCTTGCCTGCATTATACTGTTCTTCTCTTACTCATTTCTACTTAATTTTGTTTTAGAAGTTTCTAAGTTTCAGTGCTTTCTCCTCCACCTTCTTTCTTCTGTTTTCCCTTGAAATGAACTCTGAGGTATTGCGGCTTTAGCGGCAAACACCTGTCTTCCCTTCCATGCATGCCCAATATCCATTGCATGGCACCAGCTGGGATTCAAAAGCACTTCTGATTCCCCAAGGGCATGTGGTTTGCTTCCCACCTTAACTGGGAGTTGCAGCAAAAGCTTTGAAATAAGGAGGAGGTTTTTAAAAGCAGGTTTGTTATGCCTCAGGACAGGACTTGTCAGGGGTGCACCGTATCTTTTCCATTGCCCAGCCAAAATCTATTCTCTCAGTTAGAATATTAAGTATATTTTAAATTACACCCAAATATATTTCAGTTTGTTCCACTGTGTGTACAGTATGTTTACAAAACCATAAATGTTTTCTTTGTAACAACTTTTCTCAGACCTGACCAAAAGTTTTGTGAACATATAAAGGATGAGAAGAGCGATGACTTCCAGAAGCGGTACATCCTTAAGAGAGATAACTCAAGTTTAGACAAAGATGACAACCAGGTAAAGCACACGTGGCTTATTCCTTCCACTTGCTGTGTTTGACTGTGCATTCCTACTGTTTTCCTTTGTAAAATAATACTGTACCACTTAATTTAGATGAGAATACGATTAAAAGATAACAGAAGAAGTAAATCTATAGAAGAACGTGAAGAAGAATATCAGAGAGCTAGAGAGAGGATATTTGCACAAGATGTACGTATCAAAACCAGTCTGGCACTGTTTTCTGTGCACCCTTCACACACCTACATGCATGGGTGGCTTTCCAGGAAACTGTTTCTGAATGACACTGAGCAGATAAGAGTGTGGCCTGAGTGAGTTTTAAATGATATTGCAGTTACTGAGAAATCTTCTGTTTTCTCTGATCGCTGCTGTGTGAAACTCAAACAACTCAAGAATTATAACTGTTTCTGAATGACACTGAGCAGATAAGAGTGTGGCCTGAGTGAGTTTTAAATGATATTGCAGTTACTGAGAAATCTGTTTTCTCTGATCGCTGCTGTATGAAACTCAAACAACTCAAGAATTACTGAGGAGTGTTTTCTAGCGTTACCTGGTGCAATGCATTCCCCCCTTTGCATTGTTTCACCCCTCACTGCAATTTCAGTTAGAGTTTTGGTACTGCAATCATGTCAGTTGCTCAGAACAATAATTAAAAGAAGAAAAAACCCCAAGCAAATTACAAAACAAAATATTTTCTTGCTTGTATCTATAGCAACCACATCATGAGTGGTAACAGTAAAATGATTTGAGGTCCCATATTTGAAATTCCTGTCAGGAATCTCGCAGTCTGATCTCCTGACTGGAGATACTCTGCAGGACAACATTACAGGCTACAACTCAATTGCAAGTAGTGATTATATTGAGTAAAACAGAACAAATTTGTCTTTAAAAATGTGTTACTTTTAATAATCCACTTCTGACATTTACGTATAACTCTTGCACATCCAAAACCAGATTCTGAAGAGAGTAATGAGCTCTTTTTTTTTGTTCACCTTAGTTACAAACAAGAAGAATAAACTTTTGGAAACAAAATTACATCTTCCTTTTGCATCTTAATTTACTATGTATTACACCCTTAGAAGTTTTGGCCAGATGTTGGGAGTCACAGTCAAGGACACAATAATTGGAGTCAGGAGCAGCCTTTTAGGTTCTGTTCCATGTGCTCTGTAGCTTACCCAGACTGGTACCCAGGGCACTGAGCAGTTACTGCAGCAGCAGTGGCCTCTCCCCCTCCACCCTTCCCAGCAAAAGACAAGGCAGCTCAGGTGCTGTGGCAGCCCTGGGAATCACACACCAGCTGCAAGTGACAGAAGGCACCAAAGGCCCAAGGGAAGAACTGTAACTTCAGAAAAAGTCTGATAGAAACCAAATGAGCAGCATTGTAACTATCCTCATGCTGACTTTGATTTCCTGCACATGGGCCTTTTTATATTGTCTTGTTCCCTCATGGAAATTATCCACCACAGGTAAAGTTTTTCAGGCAGCTTAAAATGAAGGGGGTGCTGTAGAAGTCTGTGTGTAACGCAGAAGACTCCAGTTTGCTGTGTGTTTTGTAGTAGGGATTCTGGATGCCATTCATATTAATTTCTGCACTTCTTTGCCCCCAGTCCCTGTGTTCCCAAGAGAATTATTTCACTGATAAAAGGTAAGAAAATTTGCTGTTTAATTCTGTTTTGTGTTCCTATTTTCTTAATAAATATTAAGCTGTCTTATTAAAATGTCAACAGAATCCAGGAGGAAGAAACTAATAGTACCCAACAAAGACGACAGATACTTAGGTACTTGATGCTTTCTTTTAAAAAAACAAAACCCAAAGTATTCTGCATGCGTTTTCCTTTTCTTTCTTGTTTTTTTGTTTTCCCTTTTTTTTTTCCTTTTCCCTTCTTTTGCAAACTTTTTTTTTCCCTTTTCCCTTCTTTAGCTGCTTGTGCTAACAGTTGAGTTTGTAACTTGCAGAATCAATAAGGAGGCATCGGGGAGATCGGCCAACAGCCACCAGAGCAGCACGGAGACGGAGCCGCGGCCCTGGAGCAGCACCGACTCCGACAGCTCCCTGCGCAACCTGAAGCCCGCGGTCACCAAGGCCAGCAGCTTCAGCGGCATCTCGGTGCTGAGCCGCGGGGACAGCTCTGGCAGCAGCAAGAGCACGGGCAGGCTGTCCAAGACAGGTACAGCAGCCTCGGGGCAGGCTCTGGGGGCTGAGCCGGGTGGGCATGGCTGGAACACCAGGGGAGGCTCCCTGCATCCCTTTCCCTCGGGATACGGGGGCTGCACACACGGGACATCCACAGAGCCAGCCCTAGAGCCGCAGTGTGACAAATGTGGTGAACACTTCTGGCTTTGGAAGCAGAATTTCCAAGCGTGTTGTAGATGGCTTGAAGTTCAATGCCTTTCATCTCGTGCAAAGGATTTCAAAACGTTTTTTACCAGAAATATTTTAGTATAAAATATTTGGGGTTCAGGTCTCCGTTTCCAGTGGGGCAAAACTGCATTGCACCATCTTAGGAAACTCTGCACTGCTATCCTACTAGCTCAGATAAAACAGCATTAAAGCCTATGAATTGGTAGTTATTTTTGTGTTCTCTTTCTTTTGTTAAATGAAAATGAATGTGGCTCAAATGCTTACTTAATTTTTAGACTGCTAAGAAATTAAATCAGTGGAATGAAGTTTACTGTTTAATTTTAAAATTCAAAAATGTTGGGGGAAAAAACTTATAAGAGTCAGGGTTTCAAAGGGGGTTAACTTCTAATGTGAAAACAAAATCTCAGAAAATATGGGAATTAATCTTCTGTGGGTCAAAAATTAAATTTAGTAAATATTTGTATTTCAAATGCCAACATAATTTGTTCCAGTTGCTAATCTCTGGAGAATTTTCAGGCTTGTAATACATGGGTGTGTTATTGGTGGCTGCTTCAGAATTTGAAACAGAACTATAAAAAAGCAGAATATAATTGCTTACCTTATTAATATTGGCTTTGATGTTATTTATAAAACTGGTTTCTAAAGAGGCTCTATTTCAATTTTTTGCTTTTCCTTAAACCACTACTACCTTTTAGGTATATGGCCACACTGCTATATATTAATGCAGTGAAACAGTAACAAATTCTGTTTGTCCATTGTATACTTGTATAAAAAAAGACCCAAAACAGTCCAAGGTACTTCTGCTGTAAAATTGTGCTATCATATGAAGTTATTCCATTTAGCAGTGTAGCGATGTTATTTGGCACAGCTTGAAAAGAAACTGCAACCTGGCAATAAAATACATTCTTAGACATCTTTGTTGGCTAAATTTCAAGGACATAAATGGATTCTTAAAATTTTTGCTGGAGTCTTTATTTTGGCATTCTGAGAATTTGGACATTCCAGGCTGGGAATGCCCACCTTGATGATTGCTGCTTCATGCAGTTCCAGGTTGTGGTGATTGGCACATGCTGGGCTTGGGTTTGTTCACGTTGTTCAGGAATGTGATTGGCTCTGGTTATAACGGCTTCAGCCTCATTCTCTGCATAATCTAGAAGTGAACACACTTGGAAATGAATCCAAGTAACTCTGCTCAGGCAATGATGGTTTTACAGAGCTGGGATGTGCTGTCTCACCCAGTTTACAATTAATAGCTTTGATTTCACTTAATTCAGCAATAAAAAAGGCCAATGCTTCGAGCTATGCTCTCCACGTAAACACAAGGATTACAATTAGCAACTTTTATAAGGGATTGCAAAGTAACTTCAAGTAGTACATACATTCCCTCTTGAGTGCTTTTTGAGTCTTTCTTTTTCTTCTAGATTGTGTAGAGGCTGTTAATGGGGAGTTTGTAATTAATTTACAAACAACTGTATTCTGTTTCCAAGTACTGCAAGTACCATACACTTCTTACAAAGTCTGCTAAATTGTATACTTAAAGCTCCAGGTGTCAGGTGATCTGGGAACAGCAGTTCCACAGACCTCTCCATACTGGACTTCTGGAATATTTCTTTTAGCTGCATGCCTTGGCTTTCAGGAAGCTCAGGGTCTGGTTCTCCACTGCCTTGCAATGTTTATAGTAATTCATATCTGTAAAATGAGTAGTGATTTCAATTGGCTCTTTCATCTTCCTTTGAAATTTGAATTGTTGCATAAAGCCAGGCTAAAGCTACAGTCTTACCCTCATTTCACTTTTCATAGCTGTATTCTTGATTTCAGCCTGCAGATTGTCAGAGGAGGAAACTAACAGTGTTGAGGGGTTTAGTGCAGTGCAAATTGTCCAGCAGGTGAGTCAGAGAAGATCTGATCCCCAGCAGTGGAAAGGAGCTGGTCCTTGCTTGCATGCAGACAGTGTGCAGGGCATGAGGCTTTAGCCGGCAAATCCACAGGGACAGCGGGGCCCTGCAGCTGCATTCCCTGCACAGCTGCAGGAGCTGCGGCTGGGAGTTCACTGCCTCAGTGCGTCCACTCCACTATGTTGCAGTAATGACCAATCACTTCCATAAATTCTGCATTTTCTGACCAGAAACCCAAGCTGGATATGAAAACCTTACTTTGCAGTGCAAAGCAGTGCTGAATTGACCCTTGGTTCACAGAAGGAGCCTTGTAAAGGTGTTCCAGGGGAGATGGAGGGGGAGTCCATTGACAAGGCTGCTGTTGAATAATGTGCTTAATGCTGAGCTTTGAGGGTGAGCACTTACAAGTGTATATTTTAAAGTGAGCTTGATGTTACTGTCTCCAGGTAAAACCAATTTCTCATTACTCCTTTCCTAGGTTCAGAGTCTTCTAGTAGTGTAGGGTCCTCCACGGGTTCTCTCTCTCACAGCCAGCAGCCTCTTCCAGTGCCAGCTCTAAGCCAGCCCTCCCCTGGCACGCCTGCCGTGTATCCAACTGTCAGCTCTAGTAACTCTCTTTCCTTTGATGGTGGCATGAGTGGGCAAGTGGCACCTGCTGCTAGCAGTAGCTTCTTTCTGCTTCCCTTGGAAGCAGCGGGCATCCCGCCTGGCAGTGTGCTGGTCAACCCTCAGACAGGTTGGTACATGCTTGGGGGTGTCTCTGTTACACTGGGGAACTTGGAAAAAAATGCACGAGTGTTTGCATAAGACTTCATGTCAGTATTGTCCTTTGTCCTTTATTTTTCTCTTTATTTTTTTAATGTGGTTGTGTTCATTCAATGCACTTAATTTAACAAGGAAGCATGACTGGAGGATCAAAGGAATGAGTAAACTCCTATGATTTTTTCTAGAAGAGTTTTAACTTATATGTAAAATTTTAATGAGTGACTTGCACAAAATATGAAAATCATATGATTTGCTATCCAGAACACAGAATAATTTAATTGTTTCAGCTTTTTTCAGGAGAGGAAAATGTCCTTCCCTGTGCTTCTATAACACAGTTTCAGTGAGGAAAGAGAGCCTGAGAAAGGATTTTATTGACTTGAAAGAACTTATCCTTAATTTTTTTTTGATGCAACATATTCATGTCTCTATGCTCAAGACTGAGTTAATACAAGTGAAAGAAAGAAGCACAGGATGAAATACTATTTCTAAACTTATCCTTGTTACTTAAAAACAGGATTAAATCAGTGTTGGTATAATTGGCCAATACTGGTATTTTAAGTAGTAGAAAATTGTTGCTTCATAATGTAGATGCAAAGAGATCTGTAATAACTTGTCTGGATTAAATAATGAGTTAGCATTCTCTGGGCAAACTTTTACTTAAAAATTAGGAAATTCTAAAATTTTAAATTTACCTTTCATGTAAAAGATCATTTTAGGAAATTATATATTTTAATTTTAGTGTAATTTGTTTTTGTTGTAGAAAAGAAAATACTTCAGAATATATTTACCATCATTCTGTAGATGGACTTGATTATGTTTGAATATAACTGCACATGGTGTTTAAAGCAAAATGTTCCTCATTGGGATTGTTAAAATGACCATGTTGTAAACAATTTCTTTAACTAGAAGGTATAACATTGAAATAGATAAATTCCTCTTTTTCCTTAATATGAATCAATTGCTAAAAATTTGGTTACAAATGAGTTGCTGTAGGACTTAATTTTCATAGATAGCCATTGGATTTGGAGGAGAATGTATCTGTCATCTTAGAGCTAAGTTCATTAGTAGTCTTTGGTAATTATGTTAATGTCTAATGAGATTCTAGTAGAAGACAAAGAACACTTTGAAAACAAGGAACATTTAGGTGCAGATAAACTTCTATTTCCAATGTACTCAAATCATTGTATTCTGTAATTGTTCCTCTGGCTTCACTGTTCCAATGCCAGCCAAAGCAGAGGCTGGTTCCTGAGTTTCTGGCAGAGGAGTCTGTGCCTTGGTAATTAGGAAGAGACCGCTCTTACCCAGCCACTACAAGAAATAAGTGAAGCTCTGGTGATTAGCAGGAAGTAGTAGGAGGAAATAAGAAAATCTGAGTCCCTGTTGATGTGAACATTTCCAATTCTTGAGCGTTGAAGAGAAATCTCCCAAGCTCAGTTGAGTATCACCTGCTGAGCTGCAGTCCAGCTGCTGTAGCTTATTTTAGCAAGTCTGTTCATGCTCCCTCTGCCATGAATTCCTCAGTCCTTTCCTCAGTAACTGTTCCACTCTTTATGTTGGGCAGTTACATTTAAGTATGATGGCACCAAGGAGTCTGGAGGAGCATTAATCTGCTTTTACAGGGTGCAAAGGCTTTAGACTCAGTTTAAATCTTTCTAGAAAGGATAAGCACATCTTTAAATCAGAGGAGAGAAAAATTTACATCAGTGTTGGGCCCTTTAAGCATCAGAATAAGCCAGTGTAGAACACGTGTCACTAAGCAGGTAGGCACAGGTCCTTGCCAGCCAGGCTGTTGTTCCTTTGATTTGTTTTTTGTCCAACCCAGGCACAAAAAGAAATCACTGGGGCTTTTTATAATTTACTTTTATGCAGTTTATTTTTCAATTCTTTTTCATTGGCCCATTGCTGTAATATTGAGCTTGCAAGTGATTAAATAGAATAATCCTGTGTTATTTATTTTGAAAGCTAAAAGCCAATTAATCTAAGAATAGGGGAAGAGAGTCCTTTATCAGTAATCTCATTAGCAGTCGTGGAAATACCAGGGCAGCTATTGCTTTATATAGTTTTCAAAAAATATTTGCCTTTAAGCTCTCCTGTGTTCTGACCGGTTTTCAAATTGATAAAAGGAAGTAAACTTTTAAAATATCCTTAAAACAGTATTTTACTAGAGTTTTCCTTTATTGCTCCTGTCATATTCAATCTACTTGGTTAAAAATCAAGTTTCAAGATGAGTAGCATTTAAGAAATTTTTATGAGTGTTCACTACATAAAGACTGGGGTATCTTTGTTTAGCTTCAAAGTTTTGGGTTTTAGCTGCATGTAGTCATTGCTGTTAGTTGTGGGCATTTGGCATGGATCTGTCATATAAACCAGTATGCCTTCCCTTATTTTTCGATGTTATTGTTGTATTCATTTTTTCATTTTGCCTGCTGTAAGTATGCTTGTCTGTTTTGTGCCAGCTGAGATGGTGCAGCTGGCTGTGTTTGTTGTCTTTCCCTGGGCAGGTCAGCCGTTCCTCAATCCCGATGGCACTCCGGTTGTGTACAACCCTCCCCTGCCTCAGCAGCCTGTTAGGACCCAAGTGCCTGGAGCTGCACCTCAGCCAGCCCTGCCCAGCCCCAGCCAGCACCAGCCCGGAGCAAACCCCGTCCTCTCACAGGTGCACTTGTCAAACACGTGCTCAGGGACAGCGGGGCTCGGGCGCAGCGCTGGGAACGGGGCGGGGGTTGTTTGTTCTGCACTGGATGTGAAGAACAGTCACACCAGTAAGGGTAACTGGGCTTTTTCCCTCCCAGTCCTCACAACTATCAGCTCTGCTCACACCTGAGCATGGTAGGCAGCCTCTTCTTAAAAATACAGAGGAATTTTAGTATGAAAGTGTTCTGTAACCAAGACCAAGAGATTCTGCCTTCATCCCTAATTGCACTGTGGAGTCACCCAGGCATTAAAAGCAATATAGTTGGCAGCTGGGAAGAATTAATCCAACTGGAACCTTGGGCTTCTTGTCTTAGGGTTGTTTCTCAGCCAGATAAATTCCTGGGCTGTACAGCACAAGCAGGAGTCGTGGCACAGTAGGAGTAGCTCAGGACTGGTACAGCATGAACATCTCATGAGTAACACTTCAGCATATTCTGCTCACAAAACCACACACAGGAGTACAGAATGTATTTTATCCTTGTCCTGTACAAGAGTTTAGTAAAATAGGCCAGATTAAAGACTGCCCCAGTCCTAGAAGAAGAAAAGCAAAATGCATGGGCAGGAGAAGGGAGGGTTCTCCCTCTCCACAGCAGCTATTTCAGGCACCAAGGTACTGGCTGTAGTCTCCTGTGGTATTTTCAGATGGTTCTTAAATTTTATCGAAAAGTTATTTATAGAACTTCCTCTAAACCTTTTACCTTTGTTTGTTTGTTTTCCCTGTTTAAACCTGTTCAGATAGCTGGGTATGCCACAGTAGAGCTGGTCTGTTTTGAAAACAGTCACATTTGTACTCTTTCTAGTTCACAGAAGTGTGTATGTAATATTTGCTATTTTCTTCACAACTTCTGTACTAATTCTCTGATTACCTTCTCAACGGATGCTGGAATTAAACCTGCCTGAAATATTATGAGCAATGATAACTATCTAGAGAAAATATTTTAGTACTGTTGAATAAATGAAAGTAGTATGTTTGAATCCATGGTTGGTAGTAAATTCATTCTGCCTTTAGATGCTTTGAAAGAACTTGTGTTTAAAATGCATGTGGAGTTTTTAGTCTCTCTGAAGGAAACAGTAAATGTTAAATAGAAGCAATTTGCTGACATAGCTAATATAGTGTATAACAAATAAAGCAATGGATGTCTTTTGGGAGACAGAGATATTCAGAGTTACTTTTGTTTTCATTCTATGCAGTCTTAGGCTTAAGAAAAAAAGAAGTATCCATTCTGTTTCTGAGATTGGAGTGAGTTGCTCTTCTGGAGCACAATTGCTTTTCTCTGTTACAAAAGATTTGTTTTCACTTCTCTTACTCTGGTGTTAACCTTGTTCATAACCCTGTTATTTCTGCAGCCTCTGCGGGCTCTGCAGCCTTCCTCCCAGCCTGTCCAGTACTCTGCAGTGTCGTACCCACCCCCGCTCCTGCCAGCCTCCTCTGCACAGCAATACTCTGTGGTATTTCACCTTCTCTTCTCTGCTCCTTGCACAGCCTCCTCTCTGCTGGCTGCTGGCCTTTGCTTGGCTCTTTGAGTGCTGTGTGGTACCGGGGTAGTGACTGGCTCTCAGTGTCACAGCACCCGAGAGCCCAAGATGGGAACATTTCATGTTCAGCAGGAATATCTGCAATTAAGGCTATATCTATATATATCTATATTTTGAGATACATTATTTCTCTTTCCCTTTGTAAAGAAAGTTTTTCAGTGCTGTTTCATTAGCCAGTCAGTACCTTTTTATGTCTCTGGATTAACCTCTTTCCATTGCTTCTTATTGTTTCCTTGTCTGCTCACTCTTCTGCTGAACCTTAATACATTCTGAGGGATCAGCTGCTCTGATTTTTTTTCTGGTTACCTTTTTGTAACTTCTTTGGTAGAACTTTCAACACTCCCACTTCTCTAGTATCCATTGTTTAATAAGTAGAACCTGGAAATAAAATATCTTAGTCTATCAAAGACCAGGAAAAAAGAAGAAAAGCCACACAAGGTGAAACTGAAACTTAGTAAAGGAGAGTTGTTATCCAAGGGAGAATCTGAACTAGGTTAGATTGAACTAGGGAGATGTGAACAGGTCAAGTCTGCTCTGATACTCTACTGAGTGCATGTTTGAGTTGAGTTTATGTGGCAAGGTTTTGGACAGGGAGCTGCAGGGATGGCTTCTGGGAGCTGCCCCATGTTGGACAGAGCCCGTGTCAGGCAGCTCCAGGGCTGACCCTGCACAGCCCAAGCTGAGTCAGTCATTCACGCTGGTGGCACCTCTGAGTGTGCTTGGAAAAGGGTGTGAGGGAAAAACAACTCCACAGATATTGAGGCCAGAGGGAGAAAAGCAAGGAGGTGCTCCAGGTGCTGGAGCAGAGCCTGCTGCCTGGGGAGGAGACTCTTGTGAAGCAGATTCTCCCCTTGAAGCCCATGAAGGACTCTGGTGGAGTAGATATCCACCCTGCAGCCCTTGGAGCATCCCACAGGTGCTCTGAAGGAAGCTGGAGCCTTCAGGATCAGATTTTCTGGTATGACCTACACTAGAGCACTTCATTCCTGAAGGACTTCAGGCTTTGGGAAGAACCCACATTGAAGAGGTCTGTGAAGGATGGTATCCCGTGGGTGGGACCCCATGCTGGAGCAGAAGAGTGAGGAGGAAGAAGCAGTAGATAGATGACTGAGAGCCAATCACAAGCCCCATTCTCCATCCCTTGTGATACTTGGAGGAGGAGGTAGAAGATTTGGGAGTGAAGCTGAGTCTGGGAAGAAGCAGTGGTGTTGAGGGAAGCTGGTTTTAGTTTTGTTTTTACTTCTTACTATCCTACTCTGCTGTTAATTAGCATAAATAAATTAATCTTCCTGTGGTGGTCACTGATGAATGATTTTCCTGTCTTTTTCTTGACCCATAAGCCTTTCATCATATTTTCTCCCCCCATGTTGCTCAGGATGAGACGAAGGATGGAGTGACTTGGGGGGCACTTAGGAGCCAGCCAAGGTTAACTCATCACAGTGTTGTACAGCAGCTAATTTTCAAAATTAATCAGAAATGTCTTATAATAAATACAGTTTAAGCTGAATTCAAAAGGGATGTTGCTTCTGAAGTTAATAGTGAGTTTGAACGGGTGCTAAAGCAGAAAATGAAACTCCTTCCTGTTTGTAGTAATTTCAAAGCATTTCACATTCAGGAAATTGGTTTCAATACTAAGTGCCCTGGCAATTTCAAAAATTTATTCCTGCTGATGGTAACTTATGTAACATAATGAAAAGGATTGATGGTCTTGGATTGTATTCCAAGTATAACACCTCTGTAGTTGGCACCAGGAGAATGCTTTCTCCTTTTATTGGGAATACCATGTTCCAGGGCTGAATCCTGCTTGTACCATACCTGTCACTGCAGGACAAAGTGACGAGGTCAGATTTTACTTACACTGGTAATGTAACAGAAATCAGTGTGGTGTGGCTTGGGTTTATCCTTCAGACTTATTTAGAGCTAGATATGCAGTATCTCTTCTTCAAAGTCAGGATTTGGAAAAGCAGAATGTAAAGTGCAATGTAGAACAGCATTATAGTTGCATTTAATGGGCACCATTAAGGAATGAAATACCAAAGTCAGATTACTACCTAATGAAAATAAGGCTTTTTAAGATGTACTAAATACATACGAAAGGTATACTAAATTAAGTTTTAGGTGCAAATTCATATTTCCGACAGTAATTAATAATATCTTTCGCCTGCAAACTAAAAAAATCATAACATCATAAAATGTGAATGTAGCTAATCAGTAAAAGATGGAGGTTGCACTTACTTTCTCTTGATTAATTCCTAAGACCAAGTGGTCTTGAAATAGTTTTAATGTACCTGCATGTTTGGAGAGTCCAAAGTATGAACCAAATCTTCCTGTTTAGCAAAAACACGCAATACTAGTTAGTGATCGCTTCTAATTTTCAGGATGTTGCTAATTTGATGCTGAATTGCTTGCTAAGAAAAGGAGCTTGGGGTTACTGTAACAAGTTTCAGGTTCCACAGGACCCCTGCAGTGCAGAGTGCCTTCAGTGGCGTCCTTTCAGATGTTAATGAAACACAGATAGAGGGTAGCCGCTGGAACTCATTTCTCGATGTTGTTACTTGATTTCAGACTAAAAGATAATTAATCTCTGCATGTAGGATAATAATTACATTCGAGGAATGTACCTTTTAACTCAGGATTAGTACCTCATTATCTTAAACTCTTAAAAGTAAACATTTACTTCAGCAATCCTAATGCATCCTGCTATTTTAACTGGGGTTAGATGTTTTCACTCAAGTTTTGGAGTCCAGTGCTAGTGACACAAATTCTGAACTTTCTTTTTGACAAATGAATTCTCACAATAAGTAGAGGCAGATGTAATCCAAAAGGCAAAATATTTGCAGTGAAAAGAGTGAAGTCTGAACATGGATGTTCTCTCCTGCTGTCAGCCCTGAAGATAATTTGCTACTGTTCCATCTTTGCTGTTGTTCTCTGGCTGCTGTTGTTGCTACTGCCCAGTAATGTGAGACGTGCTGTCCGAAACTTACTGAAGTGTTTGGCTATTTTGTTTCTTTTTCCTTGAACGTGCATTTGCAAACGTAGCTTTTCCCGTTTTCCCCACGCCTGCAGCAAGACAACCTGGGATCGCAGTTCAGCCACCTGAGCCTGGCGCGGCAGCCCCCGGCCGAAGGCGCCGACGCCGGCCCGGCGCTGTTCCAGCCCGGCGTGGTGCTGCAGCCCCCGCAGCAGCCGGGCTTCATCCTCACGGCCGCGCCCGCAGCGCCGCCCGCAGCGCCGCCCGCCCCCGCGTACTCGGGCCCCGGGCACGCCGTGGGCCAGCCCGTGCTCCCGCAGCAGGGATACGTGCAGCAGCCCGTGCCACAGGTACCCTACGGCCTCCCGAAAGCTGGGGGAAAACTGACCCTGCTCTTCTGCTCCTGGCCTGTTCACGCTGTCTGGGGCTGCCTGCGGAGCTGCAGCTCTGCTTTTGTTCTGGGGTTGGGGTCTTTTCTGGGTATGTGTTTTGTAATGAATGACTTGAGGTTACTTGAGGAAAGTAAATGTTCAACAAGGAAAGTAGAGAAATTGGCTGTTAAAGACGGAATTTATGTAGTATAAGGGATTTTTGAATCGCTGAATTATTTAACATCTGTTGCACCTTTTTAATAAATTCTGCTTCTTTCTTTTATGGATTTTGCATTTAGATGCCTGCCTTCCCTAAAGCTGCATGCAGGTGGTGACGCTGTGATTGTTGCTTTGCAGATGGCACCCTGTTACTGCACCCCCAGCCAGTACCCGCACTCCAGCCAGCAGTACCGCCCTGTTTCTGTCCACTACAGCACGCAGCAGAGCCAGGCCCTGCCCCAGCCTGGCCAGCAGACAGGTTTGTTCAACTCTTTCAGCACTTCTTTAGAGCACTTGGGGTGGCTTTTCTCCCACTTTTTCATTTTAAACTTACTTTGCTGTAAAATTTCAAATAAAGTAGAGGGACAAATGTAGAATACAAAGTGTAACTAACCTAAGGTAGAAAAATTTCTGGCACTTGTGCATGAAACTTGGGATTCAAGCCATTCCTTTGAGTGGTTCATGCTGTAACTTTAATTACAGGGTTTTTTAAATGTAAAAGTTAATAATTTTAAACATTTGTAATTTAATAACTAATAACTTGATTAACTTGCAAAGTAAGATAAATTAGTACCTTTAAATGATGTAGCATTAAAGAGATGTACCTTAACTGAAAGTTCTGAGCTAAAGATCCTAATCTTAGATGCTGTGGCATGAAAAGGGTGCTGTGCAGAATATATTGGTGATACTGTTTGACTCTGTCTTTCTGTCCTATGATTAAAGGTATCAGGGTTTTGGATGGAATATATAATGTGATTACCTGTTTAGTAAAGACTTTTCAACTGACTTACCCTTCCATGAATGTTAGCAAGCTTCATTTCCATCTCCTTCCTTTCTTCTTGTCTTTTTTTTTTCCTTACAGATTTTAACTGTAGGCTACCATTATTCTCACAATCTGTACTTCTAAATACTGTTATGACTTCTTCAGTAAGATTTGTATTCCTGAAACAAATTTACTTCTCAGTAATATCTTAACTAATGGTCAAAACTTTCAGAAGTAACTAGTGATGTTTGGAGGCAGAGATCCTTAAAGACCAGGCTTTTATACCAGCTCTCAGTTGAATACATAACATCCTTGGAGTTTCCTTCAGGAGGGTCTTTTTAATTCCTTCCCCTGCCCCCTCTATGTGTTGCTCTACAGAAAGAGGATGGAAGATCGACTTTTACAAATATTAACTGGATTTATTTGTCAGCTGTGAAGCAGCATGTAAAAGGGATAACTCCTCTTCTGCACTTCTAGGAAGTGCTCCAATAGTAGCAACACTTGATGGAGTTATTCAGGGTTCAGTTCATAAAGATTTTTTTTCAAAGGAAAATTAATTACTTGGTTTTGCAACTTGTGTTATCCACTGGTGTTAGAGATGTGTTACCCAACTGTATTACACAACCTGCTTTCCTTCCTCAGAATTTTTAATACCTAGACTACTTAATAGCAAAAAGTCTGAGACTCAAGGGGGATTACGTCCCACTGTGGGGGACACCCTGTGTGAGTAGCACACAAACTCCCCAACTCAGAGAGCTCAGTGTACATTTGTACCCAAACAAACCAGTCTGAATTGGAAAGCATGGGGTGATAAGGTGCAAAGGGATGAACTGGTTGCTATTAGGTAAGTTCCTTTCTTGTATGTTTTTAGCTCTTTATATTTTAACTGAATTTCACTGCCTGTGTGTGAAAAGTGTCAGCAGATAAACTCCCTCTCTGTCATGGAAGAAATAAAATAAGCAAGCTGTGCAGACAGCTGCTCTCCTGCTTTGATCACGTGCCCTGTACCTGAACTCTGACATCAAGGGATCATGTTTAGGTAGCATGGGGATGGTCCAGCCAATAATTTTATTCAGAGCTGGGTTACTTGGTGTTTACCAGCACCAATGGGAGAATGAAGGATCTTACCAGAAACTGCATAATTAGTGTTGACTGAAAATCTCCAAATTGCTCTCCAGCCATTGCTGGTTCTCATTTAATGCTTTATAGGCAAATTTGAATCAGCATTTTAGAAACCGATTATTCCATGTCTTGTTATGTGTTCTGGAAATACCTCATAAGATGGTGCATTTGAAAATTCTCTCCCTTGTAATTTATTTAAAATCATTGATATTTGTATTAATTTGACATAAAGCTACATCTGAAGTGGTTGATGCTTATTAGCAATGTGTGGTTTTCAGACGAAGTCACCACATTACTTGGCTCGCACAGCAAAGTGGCTGGGCAAAAACGAGAGTTACAAATCTTGCATTACATAAAAGCCCTGGGGGTTGTTCATCTCAGGAAGTGGTTACTAACTATGAAATAACTTTGCAAACACAAATTCAGATAAAAGATGACAGCTTCTGAGAGCATGGCAACTGCAGCCACTTCTGGTCTAATGCTGAGGAGTGGCCTGACTTTATTGATGAGCTGTTGGATTCGGGGCCGTAACACTGTCTGAGAGGTTTACATTTCTCACAGTGAACCGGTCTCTTTTTCAGCTGCTTCCTGGCTTCCTTTTTAAAGGGGTTTCAGGTGAAATATTTTGGGGGGTTCACTTCTAATACAAATACTTTCGTTGCCCAAAAGATGTTGGGAGAAGAAAACTCTCCTTAAGAAAAAAAGCACTTCCAATTGCCATGTTAATGTGAGCCCAGTTACCATGAGACCTAACTCCAGGTTGTTTAAAAATCAAGTCTGAACTACAGTTCCTGTAGGAACATCAGCTGCAGTTCAACTGGCTTCTGCTTCACAAACCAGGGATAAAACTACTCCAGTTGCAACAGTAGCTGTAGCTGCAATAGTCATAACCAAGCTCATCAACTCCCAGCTCATTAACCAAGTGCTTGTACTTGCTTTTCTGTTCTTCAATAAACACTGTTTCTCACTCCTAATGCATTATTCAAAAAATGTATTTCTGTATTCTGTGAGTTAACTTTTCTTAACTGTGATTTATTTTTAATTATGTAAATATTAAGAAATCTGCTCCTATTTTTACCTCCAGTTTCAGAGTCTTTCTGTGTAATGGGGCAATCTGCTGTGGCAGGTGTGGGGTTTGTGCTGAGTGCTGCATTTCTGTCAGCCCACTCTATGCAGAGGTGAAACTGCAGCTAAAAATAGAGTATTCTTTGGAACGCTCTGGGGAACCTTCGTGGCAGCCAATTTGTATTGTTCCAGTTCCCTCTGCTTGCAGAATTGATTGTATCTGTCTCTGCAAGTGCCAGAAAAGGCTGCAGAGCTACTCACGGGTCCATTGCAATTTCTGGGACATGAGGGGTTCAGGCTGCAGGTGCACTGTCACAGCACAATATCCCATTCTGCTGCTTTTTAGGGGCCACAGACCACTTTATAACAAAGTAGTTAAAGCATTTTGTGTATTATAGATATGAAGGGCATTTTGTGCACAGTTCAAACTTAAGTTATTAAAAATTCTAACTACTAATCCTACTTCAAGCATGTATTGTTCTGAAGTTTTGTCTAGTCCTCTGAAAATATTTATAGTGTTGTGTGTTTCTAATGAATAGCTGTCTTGGTTTTAACAAACTGAATCTTCTTCCCTTTAATTTTCCAAAGCAATATATGATATTATGAACAGTCTTCTTTTGGTGTTCATTGTTGCAATTTCTATAGAGAGCCTGCTGAGGCTGTTAGTGCACAATGTTCATTGTACTGTGTGGACGAAATCAATGAACATCGGAGGGTGCTGCTCACAAAAAGGTGTTTTATGTTAACTGGATTACTTTCAGAATAGACTGAGCCTTTTTTTTAGCACAGTTTAAAGAAAACCCAAGGGAGTTTTTGCAGCTAAATTTGCTCTATTATAGTTCCTTGCCAAGGTAGGGAGCATGGGGAATGTCAAGGTCAGTGGGCTGTGAATGTGTCCAACTCAAACACAGACTCTTCTTGCCGTCAGTGCATCTTGACAAGCCCAGTTTTGTTATTCTGGAGGGATAACTGGCTTTGTCTCAGAAACACTGACTGTGTTGGGGTTTTGCTGATGGGGTAAGTAGTGCACACCTGTATGATGGAACATGAGAGAAAAAGAACTTGTGTTCTGCATGTGTTTGGATCATGGTAGCAGTTACCTGTGAAATGCTTTTTAAAAAAAGAGGAAAGGGGGAGTTTAGGTTGGACTTTATAAATGCACAAATTTCCTGTTTGGCATTCATGCTTGGGGTGTTCTGGTTTGGGTTTTGGGGCTGGGTGGGGCAATTTTTAGGCAATTTTTGAAAGATAGGAAAGGATACCATTTTAAGCAATAATAAATTGTTTTAGAGACACTATAGAGGGTTGAATATTAAAATCTTTGTGCTGTATCCCTAAGATAACTTTGAATATAAAATGTCTTCCTCTATGTACCAATATGGCTCGAACTTGGAAGATTTTTCTCAGTCCCCAGTTGGTTTTAGCATTACAGATTGCAGAAGAAATTGCCTCCTTGGAAAGTATTTGCACACAGGCCTTACACAAATTTTCCTGAAGTCTGATTTAGTTTTGAATTGCAGTTAAGGTGCTCTGACCTCTGGGGCACCTGAGGTCCAAGCTGAATTTTGCATATGTAGAATTTTCAAATGGAAGTACCTGGAATGGCCTTGTTCACAATACCAGACAATGAACTGGGTTTGATCCTGCCTAGCATGCTTTGTTCAAGTGCTTCCTGCTTTCACCTGCCAAATCAAGGTGTTAATGCATGTAAGCCAGAGTGTAAATGAATAGTGCACGCATGTGGGAGCAGCATTGCAAACAGTATGGATAATATTTCATGCTGAATCCAAATGAGTACATCTATTAATTTTAATGTTGGCTTCTTTTTATATGCATGATAAGTTCAACTGTTGTGAAGCTGCCAGATTAAACAAGCCATTAGAAAATGCTACACGTGTATTTTTGAATAGGCAACTATGCTTAAAATGTGTTCATTATTTCAAAGTAAGATTTAAATGTATAATTTCAGGTTACCAGATTTTGCCCAACCAGCAGCAAAACTACCAGGGTTTAGTTGGAGTTCAGCAGTCTCAGAATCAAAATCTAGTCAGTGGCCAACACAACAACATTGGGAATCAAATTCAAGGTGTGATTGTTCCATATCCCTCAGTGCCATCTTATCAGGTGGGTGATGTATTCATAACTTTCCAATGACTCTTCTGTGGGTTTGAGTGTTGGGGTTTTCTTTAAGTCCTTTGCTTTATGGTAGAAATGGTAGAAAGCTGCAAGCAGGTGCCAAATGTGACTTTGGGGACAGAAGCTAAAGATACAAACCCATAACTGAAGTGAGAATAAACAAGAACTTGTCAGAAGTGCACAAGTTCTAGTGCTGTTAAAAGCCAAGTGCTGCATCAGTTGCAGTTCAGAGGGTGGGGAAGAAAAGCTTGGAAGGTTTCCTTCCCACCCCACTTCCTATTGTAGAGAAAATATCTTGTTAATTCATGGAGTCCATTGGAGCCAACATTTCCATTTGGAAGGAAGAAGATTTAAAGATTACTTTTTTTTAATATGCTGTTGTTACTTTAGCTACTGTTACCACCATTATTCTGGATTTAGAGAATTCCAGAAGATATTTCAGTTTCTGGGGTTATTTTTAAATTCTAATATCAACTGGATGATGGTCAAGAGGCAGAAGCATAGTCTGCAGGAGAAAATCTTACTGTGTGGCCCATTGCAGGTTTCGGTGCCTCAAGGTTCCCAAGCAGTGCCCCAGCAGACATATCAGCAGCCTGTTATAATTCCCAGTCAGTCCAGCCAAGGACTGCCCACCACAGGAATGCCAGTCTACTACAGTGTCATTCCATCAGGTCAACAGAACAATCTAAAGTAAGTTTAACTGATACTTGATTTCTTAGCAGCTGGCTTTGTTAGAACTGACAGGATCTGGTTTTAATACTGCAAATATTAAAAATATTACTTTACAGGCATTCTATTTATTTTTTGCTCTTATGCAATTAAGTGACACAAGCAGTACTGCTTTAACTGTGACATACTTGTTGGACTGGAAAACATTGTCTCCATAGCACTTTCAGCAATACTTTACTGCAGTTCCACCTCTTAAATTTTCTGCATTCCATGTCTTACCCAGGAGACACCAGTGTGCTCAGCAGTTCAGTCTTTCTGCAGTAATATTGAAGATGACTATCCATATTCACTGGTTTTGACAAAGATACTACATTAGTAATGTGTAGAGGAAAAATAATTTGAATCCCAGAAAAAGACTGACTTCTTTTTTGGAACTTTGCATGGAAAAGGTTTAGCTTACTTTGTATTGTTGATGAGGCCTACTGGCACCAAGCTGGGTGTGAAACAAGTATAGAAACTTGGCTTTTGTTTGATAAATAACCTTTTTTCTTCTTCTTTTTTTTTTTTACCTACCTTGGTAGCAGCAAATTGGTCTGCATGTACAGCCCTCCCTGAATCTGTGTCCCCAAAGCAGTCTATTTGAGAACAGATAGGCAAGTGCCTAGGAGAATTCAATAGGATTCATGCTTCTTACAAATTTTTCTTTCTCAAGTTTTTTTGAACTTTCAAATGTGCAGCATTTAAAATTACCTGGGAACTTTTAAACAAGCAGCAACAGTTTGAAGCTTGTTCATCCTTTTGAGAGTGCAGACCTCAGTAGTATTTGTGTCATCGCTGCATGGTTTTGTCTACATAATCTGGATTCCTGTTCTTTGTATCTGTTCTTTGTATCTATTTTATATTTGAGATTCAGTGAAGTCACAGGTAGGCATAATTCCAGACTTTTCTTGAATTAAGTTTGGTTGCTTGATCTTTTGTGTAATTTAGAATGTCCCTCTCCTTTATTAGGAATTCAGAGCAAACTAGCAGCCAATGGCAGCATTTGCTTTCATTGGAATAGTTATGCTGCAGCACTTGAACAAGGAAAGCAGAGTGCTGTTCGGAGCTGAGTGTCAAGCCTTCAGGTCACTGCTGAAAACTAGAGTCAGTAGACAGATCAGAAGCTGTGTGAAAGCATCTTTGTTAGTTTTCACTTGATTTTGTCTGCTTTAATGGAAGGAATCTCTAAATTAAAATTATATAAGTGACCTGTGAGACAAAGGATGGAACAAACTTTCGATAACATAGGTAAAAATAGTAGTTCCAAGAGGATTAAACCTACTTTTTTTTTTCCACAATCTGAAGGAATTGTTTTACTCCCATAATGGTTATCTGTTAGTACAGGATTCTACAGGCACTGTTCTGATTATGGTCCACCAACCTGATGTTCTGGCTGAGCATTAGTTGTAAAACAGAATCTAACTACGCCTGTTAACTTGTTTTTTCCTGATTACCCTCAGAAGCTACCTGGCATAAATAAACATTTCAAGTTATCCTTTTCCTACATTTTGCAAACAGCTGAATGGTTGTTTATCCCCTGGAGTCCTGTTCCCTCTCCCATGCCCCTCTGGAAAAGCCATCTCCTCTCTGGGCTGGGGCAGAGCTGTCTTTGCTGCGCTGCCCCAGCTGCCCAGGGCCAGCCCCCAGCTGAGGGATTGCATCCCAAATCCTCATGACAGGGGCTCTGGGGATCTCGTAACCGAGACCTAATTCTGCTGCAGTGAGCAAGACAACAAACTGTCTTTTTATTATTATTGTGCTGCATATCTTTATGCTGATATAGAGCTGTGGACACAAAAATAGAATATCAAAATAGGTGAATTAATACAGTTTCTCAGTGTAGGCAGGGCACGTGTTTTTGCTAAGGAAGAGGTGGGAAGCTTCAGTCTTCTGAAGAATGAATGAATTCAGGGTAGGTAGGAATATTACTGATTTAAAATGAACAAAAGCTCAGTGATTTGCAGTACATGTACACAGCAAATGCAGAAGTCGTGATTAAATAAGTGCAGCATAAATGCCTGTTAGTCATGCTCTTTTTTTGTTATTACAGTTCATCTGTGGGATATTTGCAGCCTCCTGGATCAGAGCAGATACAGTTTCCTAGAACATCATCACCATGCAACTCACAGCAGCTTCAAGGACAGCAGTGTGCAGGTTGGAGAACAAAGTTTTTATTGATAAGCTTTAAAAATGTCTAGCTATTATTATGCTGGGTGATTGGATATTTGCTATCAAGGGTTTGATTTAGAATTAACTGCTGTATTCTATTTCCTCTTTTGTTCCATTTTTGAATTTATTTTCCATTTTTAATGGAATAATCTGCTGAAGCAGATTAATTTGAAATCTCAGTTTTTTTTTTTATCTTTGAAATATCTCAAGTTACTTTCTTAAAATCCAATGCCATACATCATAATACCTTGCACATGTACTGGTGGTTTAAGACAGATATGGGAACCATACATTGGCAGCAGAATCACTTCCATCCTTGTCTGAATAGCCAGGTGGGTCTGAAGACTTTGAGATTTGGGTTTCTGTTTGACAGAAGGAGTGAGGTACATTTTGGAATCAGCATAATTGGCTCTTCTACTCAAGAACCATTCTAGATTTCAGTTAACAGAGTAGGAGCAGTGATTTTCTTGAGAGGAGTTTGAAAACTGAGCATTGTGGGGTAGCTTTTTGACCTGCTGGAAAGCTGAAAGTACTTCAAAGCTGTGTGGGGTGTTTTGTTTTTATGGCAGCCTTATTCACTGCTTTTACTTTCATAGCTTATAGCAACCATTCAAGTCAGAAGCCATCACCTCCTACATTATTGCCACCTTCATCCAAGTCAAAGCCACAGCAGGCTGCTTCCATTGTGCACTACAGCATAGTGTCTCCACCCTCATCATGTAAAAGTTCACCCACTGGTCTTTCCATCATGCAGACAAAAAAAGGTATATTTTATTGGGATTTTCATCTAAGCCATTCTGTCTAGAACATGCTGTAAATTTTCAGATTGGTTTCATGGCTAACTGCTAGAACAACTGCAACTTGAGTGCCATCTCTGATTATTTTTCTTTTTTTTAATTCTTCATCTGTATTGCTATTATTGTATCTTTTAAAATGATAAATTGGAATTTAAGTGAAGCAGTGGCTCATGGGGGCAGCCTGGAGGCCACCCTCAGCAGGTAAATGTTACTCAGCAGAAACATTTAAGTCAGGTTCAGAAGGTTTTGATCTACAAAATACTTGGGTAATTTTTAGAAGGTGTGTAAACAGAAGCCTCAGTGTGTTTGAAAGCAGTGTTAACATCAACCTTGTCAATCCATGAAACCTTTATAAATATTAATATCCAAACACTTAAAACTCTGAAGTTCCAGCCACAGAATTGATAATGGACTGGTCAGGAAAGTAAGAGCACTGGGGTTAACCACCAAGCAAGAGATTACAGAACAATCCCGTGACCACCGTGGCACAGGCTTTATTTACTATTAGGGAATTTGATACATTAGAGGCTTGTTTGGTAAAAAAAGGGATAATCTCAAATTCTACTATCTCAGTATTTTGCAAGCAAGCACTAGATTAAACAACCCTAGATCAATGACCTAGATTCTGCTACAGATGTGGTGTTTCTCACAAACATTTATCTTTGAAGTGTTTTTTGAAGCTGTTTATTAGTAAATAGATAACATGCAGTTAAGTGGCAAGATAGCTGGATTAGCAGTTCATGGGCAGGTTTGGTTTGGTTTCCATTTTGCTTCAAGTTTGTTTGGCTTTAATTCTGGAAGACTGTCATTTCAGAATGTCTAAAGGGGGCCTTGCACCGGTTTGTTTTTCTGCCCTCCTATCTCTCCGGGAAGTGCTGGTTTTGTGCAGTTTTGATGGCCTAGTTCAGACCTGTAAACTGGGGGTTAAGGAAGGTTCAGGAAGGAGGGAGCCCTCTATGGGGGAGCAAATTCTGGGGAATAAATCAAAACTTGTGCTTTTCAGCAAGTGAAGACATTGAAATGCTGAATGAAGGCCTCTGAGGCAGGGCCAATGAGCAGGTCCACAGACAAACAGCAGAGTAGTGTTACAGGGGACCAGACTGTAAATCTGGGGAGGCTTTGAAGGATTCCTGGGTTTCCCTTCTCATGGAATTTGACAGGTCATAAAGTGTCTGCAAACTGACTTATGCACTGTATGACACTTCATTGTGTCAGGATACTTTGTTAGGAAAAGAATTCCATTTATTTTCATTTCCTGAAATGCTGGGGAATTAGAAGCAAAAGAAAAAACACGATTTTCTGAATGTATAAAGTTTTCTTTTGCAGTTTAAATTGCATTTTAGATTGACACTCTTTTAGAGATGGTGCTGTAGATGTTTCTGAAAGACAAACATGTTTTTGTTGGGTGTTCCATTCTCAGAGAACAGAGATATAAATCAGAAAGAGTATGCTAGTGTTGCAGAGTGAAATACTGTATATAAACCAGTAAGCTGTAAATTATTATAATTTATAAAAGATATAAATATATGCATATAATATTAAAATTAAACCCATTTTTGTGTGTTAGACATAGTGTGTATATAGGTGTTTGGTATATCTCAGGTTTACGTATAGGGACTAGATAAGTTTATGGCTTTACCAGTGGAAAACTTTTGTGTTGTATATTATTCTGATTGTGTAGCAGTCATAAATGGAGTTGTATTTTATTCTGCTGTGCAACAAAATAGAAATATTCACAATGTGGCTCTTGCAGGGACTCCTTAATTTATATCCTCTGCTAAAGCCGGCCAGATACCTGATGGTTCAATTGCCATCTGTAACACCTGGGTAAAACTTCTTGCCATTAAAAAGAAAGTATAGATGTAAAAACATTGTTAATTCAGTTAGCCACGTAATAAATATTTCCAAATACAATTTACAAAAGCTAGTGTAGTTTTAATTTTATGTGTTTCTTATTCTGCATAGTTTGGTTTGATTTTTGAAGAAGCCTCTTTATTTTTGTGGAGCCCAGGGGTAGTGAAAACAACAGCCCATTATAAAATACACCAGATGAATGCATTTTATAATCTGTACCTTGATGCTGTGACGTGACAGTAAATTCAGAAGATGCAGAATCCTGCTTTCTGGATGATTAAATGATGTTTAAACTGTGTGTTTTAATCGTGGTTTCTGAGAAATGTTATAAAAAGTGGGTAGAGCAGAGAAGGAAATTGCAAACAACCATTTACAAATAAAAAGGGCATTACTTAAATTACTTGGGGCAGAGGGGGGAGATGGTTTGTCTCTTGGGCAGCCTCTCCTTACAGCTCCTGGTGTGAAACCTTGTGCAGCAGTGCTGGATGCTGAGGTGTTCTCCCCTGACTCTGGAGTTTCTGTGGCTACCACAGGACACAAGTGGGACAGGGTGTGGGGATCAGTTTGCAGTATCTGCCCAGAAAAGCATTCCTGGGAGGACTTGTAAGTGAGGGTAAGTCTGCCTAGACTAAAGGTTGATCCCACGTCTTTCTGATCTATGCCATCGTATCAGAGAAAACATTTTGAGTCTGCATTGCCGTACATGTAAAACTAGGAACCTTCTGTTTTTCAATGAAGCATATTTTCACTTAATATCACATTCTGCAACACAGTGCTCTGATAGAAACTGCAGTGAATGTTGAATACTGTCAACTACTAATAAATAGAGTGATTTCTTTCAAAAATATTCTCAGCAATGACTTTCAGTGGCTCCCCTATCTCCTTTTCTGGGAAGCCCTCTCTAAGTTAGCTATTGCAGGTGTAGCTGATAGTGGAAACGTAATTATACAGAAGATACTGCTCCAGTTTTCTAGAATCAGCAGCTTCTTTAGCCAAAGGTGTTCCGTATGTTATTTCCCTTTTCCCGGTGCCGTGCTGACCGTGCCTGTGGCTCCTGTGTTGCAGCCGCGGCGCCGCCGCCCGCCGGGGGGGTGCTGATGATGCAGCTCAACGTGCCCGGCAGCGCCGCGCCGCGGAACCCGTCACCAACGCAGAGGAAACCCGGCAAGTACTACTGTGATCACCCCCGCGGGCACAAGGCCACGGAACTCAGCACTTTAGACGGTGCTGCACAGGTAGGAGGTGCTGGTTTGCTTCTCCAGCATGGCTGAAATACGCGTAAATTCTGTCTTTTTTTCAGAAGTTGTTTTTGGGGAATAAAAATCTTGCTCTGATTATACTCACTAGAGCTATTTTAACTTTTAAAAATCTTTGAAGGCTGTGGGTGCTGTTTGGTTTGTTCAAGTAGTACTTTCTGAAACACTGTGGTGTTGTTTATTCCAGCTGCAGCATAGTCCTCAACTGGGCAGCCCTGCCACCTCACCGGCCCAATCACCAGCACCAGCCCAGCTGTCAAACATGAAGAACATCCGTCCCACACTGACACCTCTTTCTATCGTCTCCCAGTTTTCTAGACCTTTTGTCCCTGGACAAGGTATATTTTTAGTTAACTAAAATGTGTGTGTGATTTCTATTTGAATATTTTAAAGCACAAGTTATATGAGGATTTTCTCATGAGTTATGGCTCACTTTAGTAGTGTTGCTGTTAAAGCAGAATCACCAAAATTACTCACTCAAACATTTAAAATTTCATCTTTCACACAGCACTGTGTACTGTCCCCCACATCTTCAAAGGCTTCTCATCTCTTCATTAATATGTTTCTCTAGCACACTGCCTTTCTCATATTTTGACATTTCCCATTTCAGCATTGAAAATATTAATAAAATGTTTGCTAGAATTTAGCTTCAAGTCTTAACCATAAATCATTAGTTGATAATGCACTGAACTGCATCACTGCCTAAGCATGTATTCTTCATTCCTCTGTAGAACAACAAGCATGATGGGATGGAGCCTCTAGCCAGCACTGTACCTCAGTTAGTATTTCAGATAGGACCCACCCAAGGACACAAAAAATGCCTTGTAGAAGAATTTCAATCTTCTGCTGCCATGTCAACGGGAAAACAGAAAATAGGGAGTTTTCACTGAGTTGGGATAGTTGATAATACAATTATATAAACCCCTTTTGTCAGTGAGCAAAAGTATCCTGGTTCTCAAACTCAGACATTCTCAAACTCAAAATAAACAGGTCCATTTTACAGAAAGATTTACTTTAAAGCAAAACTAACAGAAAAGTCTGTATGTCTCTGTTATTGATAAAGAGAACCTTATTTTCTTGTCTTTGTCTTATTTGTTGTATAATCTTTGTCATTGCTTTGTATTCTGATGTTGTAAAAATTCCAGGTGGGCTGTTTGAAGCACACCTCTTAGCTCCCTTCATCTGCTGTGATTACTGAAAATTTCTAGTGCATTGTCTTTGTGCATCCTTGCAACAAATAGGAATCTAAAGATGGACCTGGCTCTAATCAGGGCTATAACCATGAAATGACTAAATTAGCATTCTGAGAGAAGCTTTAGACTTATTAAGCTCATTTTGAAACAAAAGGACTTATCTAAGACTGCAGTGAAGAAAACCTTGAGTGTAATCCCTAAATACATAAATAAATAGCAAGTTTGTACCTTTTCACCTTGGGATCAGGACGTGGCTGACAGTGATGGACCAGGGCAGCTCTGAGTTTGTTAGCCCAGCCAGACACTCAGCTTTGTGCACAGCAGTTCTGCTTGCTCTTCTGTGTAACATTTTCAGTGTGAGAGGGACTTGGAGGAAGATATCCTGTAACAGAAAAACCCTTCTAATTACCTTTCTCTTTAAGGAGATGCCAGATACCCATTGCTTGGCCAACCCCTGCAATACAATCCATCTTTGTTACGTGGACAAGTAACAAGCCAACAGGTATTAAAAGAGAACAATCTCATGAAACAATGAAAAAAAAAACCAATCCAGGACTACCATTACAACCACCTAAAATAGGGGAATGTGTTATTGCACTTGGAGAGTAATTGAGTGGAAGGTGCTTGCTTTGCAGTAAGTTTTATTCCATGTCAATACTCCCCGCTGTTCTTGTTCGTTGTATTAAAAAGTGAGAAACATTTATCTGAACTATGGCTTTTGGTTTTAAGCAACTCACTAGCTAATTCCAAAATCTAAAGGGGACCCTTTGCGAAAACTATTTTCTTTTATTCAAGTAACCATTTCTAAAAAAAAATACACGCGGTAATTTTTAAACCAAGAGCGTGTTTGTTCCTTTTGAGAAAAACAAACCCAAAATATTGGTGTTAGCAAAGTTGAAAATTCTTTCCCTCTCTTTAATTTTTGGGACACACAAACCCCCTGCCTCTGCCTTGCTCAATTCCACCCAATGCCAGCTAGAGGATGTGATGGGTCAGGGGGATGTTCTTCCAAGATGATTTAAGGTGATTTTTTTCCCCCCATCATTGCCTCCCTTTCTTCTACAGTGAAGGATTGAATGTGCCTGTCTGTAGGATTATCAAACTCAGTAATTAAATTGAATGTGAAAATCTTCTCTGACCCGTGGTAGTGCAGGTTATTTTCCAGACACTGCTCTGCACTGCTCAGTCACTGAGCTGACTAGGAATTTTAAGATACTGATGGATTGTTGTTAAGTACTCTCTTTATGTCAATATTTCCAGTGTCAGCCTGGAAACCGACATGGAAACAGGGGAAAGAAACCAGCAAAGAAGGCTGCTTCAGCAGATCTTGGTGCAGGAGAACCAGGTATAGAATTGCTGACTGACACAGTCCTCCAGAAAAATGAATTATGGTGATGGGCTGGGTATGTACAAGAAAAGCACAGGTGAGAAGGGCCAGAGCGAAGAGAAATTGGACATAGCAAACATTGGAAATGTAAGGATGGAGAAGAAGACATGGAGAGAGGGGAAAAGGGAAGTAAAATGGGAAAAGTGTAGTTTTGAAGGCTGGAGAAAAGACCAGAGAAGTTCAGGACCGGAGAGTACTAAAAGAAAGAGCAAGTATATCAGTTTAGTGGTTCTATGACATTGTTACATTAAATATTAATTATACACACCCCTGCTTCCTTTTACTGGACTAACAAGTGACAACAGACAAAAACCACAAAGTAATTTGTGCTCTTTGGTTGTTTTTAGTGTTTCCTGTTCTAGTATATTTAAGCACATGGGTGTGGGAGAAATTCTAGGAGTTCTACAAATTAGCTCACTGGAATTGGTAAAGATGTCATCCAAATAAAATCTGATGGCATCTATCTTAATACCTTTACTGAGAATTTTTGCTACCTACTGGCAACTCTTCACAGAAAGTTACAGAATAATCAGTTTTTCTAACAATTTAGTGGAAAGGTTTTTTTTTGAGGTAAGACCAACTAGTTTTTTGGCACAGTGATGTGTGAAGCGTTACCAGACAAGGCCAGTGAGATGCTGTAGTGAGTTCTGAAACCTGCTGCAAAATATGCTGTTGATGATTTTATTTTTTTTTCTCTCTTCGTTCTGAGGACCCTCTTTTATTTGCACACTTGTACAAGCAAGCAAATTGTATTTGTAAGCAGCACTAAATGTCAGACCAAAGGGTCTCTAGAATATCAGGAAGGCGAATCCTGTGGATTTGGTATCAGCCAACTGCAGATACAAGGATGAAATAAGTAATTTTTCATTTAGGATGCTGTATCATTAAGTGCAATAACCAATTTAGAGTCATTGTTTTTCTTCTTTCAGTTGTGGGGAAAGTTCTAGAAATTACTGAGCTGCCAGAAGGCATAACTCGTATGGAAGCAGAGAAACTCTTTGGAGAACTGTTGAAAGTGGGTGCCAAGATCCGGTGGCTGAGGGATTCCCAGTGCCTGCAGGCGCAGCAGCAGCAGCGGCGGCTCTGCGGGGACGGCAGCGGGGGCCCGGAGCGCGCCGGGGACTTGGCGTCCACCTACACGGTTCTGGCCACCTTCCCCAGCATGGCGGCCGCGCAGAGCGCGCTCAAGAGACAGAGCAGCACCGCGGTCGGCAAGTTCCGCCTGAGGACCAGCAAGAAGCACTACGACTTCCACGTCCTGGAGAGGGCCAGCTCGCAGTAGCAGAGACACCGCTGGACACTCGGCCTTTACTACTTCCATGTCCTCCCGCCTCGATTGGTTTGATGTCATGGGGTTTCTGTTCTCTTCATAGAGACTCCTGGGATGTTTTGTCACATGACATTTGCCATTGAAGAATAAATAACCCAGTGAATCCAGCAAGATGAAGAAAAAAATTTACCGAGTTACTCCCAGACAATAGCAAGGAATCATCTTTGCGACAGGCAGCTTTCTGTAAGGAATGCTGCTGAAATGCCCCCTACTTTTATAGTAGTTTTGTTTTATATTTTTGAAATCTTGTATCAGATCCAAAGTTCTATTGTACAGCAGATGTTCATAAAAATCCATATGCAGATTTGTATTTTATAATCCCTTTTCACAGCCAGCACACAGCAGTCCATTCCAAGGCAGGAACCTGAGGATTGGTGGAGGGGAAAAGAGAACCATTCTCAAGGAATTATATTCATTTTCTAGCAAACTACCCAAGATCTTCAAGTTAACCTGTTCTTTGCCCCTTGTGTGTTTTTTCTTTTTTCCTTTTTCCTCTTTTCTTTCTTCTTTTTCTGTTTTTCTTTAAGAAAAAAAGAATATCATTTTAGTAACTAACTCCTTAGGTGGTCCTTGTCTTTTGCAATATATTCAAACAATGTCAAAAGAAATTACAAGTTTGTACCCTTGAAGAATTTGCTTTTGATCCAGCAAGTTTAATAGTTACTAGAAGGGGATTATGAATAGGTTACAAAGAATGTTCACTGAATCACATTTTAATATTTCTTTTTAACAAAAGTGTGAAGAAACTTTATGTATCTTCATACAAGTGACAAAATGTTTGCACTTTAATTGTGTTCCCACCAGTATGGGTCTCTTTCTCTTCCTTTTCACGCTAAGATAATTGTGTTTGGTAAGTGCTGGAAACCTTTTTAATAGTTTAAGTTTTCATCATTTGCAGATGCTCACTGGACATTAAGATTCATTGCACATAAATGAAACAAAACTTTTTTCAACTTGTGTAATTTGCAAGTCTGTACAATGTGTGCTGATGCAAGCCTTTTTCAGTTCAAAAGAATAAATGTTTACAAACACAAACTTTTTCAGTGCACTTGTTTAAGCTTCTAGGAGTCTTCTGAAACCTGGATGAACTCATATTAATGGCTGGAATCCTTTCAAATGTGAGAAAAGACCTTATTAGAACCTCATAAAAACCACCTGCTGTTCCTCCTCTAGCATTTATGCTATCCAGCCCTTCATAATATTTAAATGTTTTCTCTGTATAAGTGAAAAAGAGAAAATAATCAGATGCTGTAAGGGACTGATCCTGATTTTCTATTTTTGGCTCAGGAACTGATTTGCTGTGTAGACAAGCAACTGCTTGGTCACTTCATAAGGCTATCATTTTGTGCATTTGTGACTTCTGAAAGAGGAAACTCAAGGTAAACTTTGTGTTTAAAAACATTTTACAAGGGGATAAAGGTGAAGAATTAAGGTGCCTAAATCATCATTCATTGTTCATACAAATTATTCTATCCCTGAACACCCAAACAGTGATGAAGTTCTTGGAGGAAAACTTAGAAAACTGATCTGTCTGGGAATAATGTAGCCTAATAAATTAGTTTTATGGGACTTGTTTCTGTGAAATGCTGTAGTAACAGGTATTTACTAAATGTCAGCTTAGATGCTTCCCTAAAACAAAGGGGAGGATGTTCACCTTCAAGTCCCCAGATAAAAGACAAATCTACCATTCCAGCCTGCTTTTCTAAAAGGACGGTACTGGGAATGGAAGTTGTGCTTGACTGAGGATGTATTTCTCGCTGCTCCTTGGGCTGGACTGCTGCAGTTCTCTGCACCCAAAGCCCCAGTTTATCAATGACCCCCTCCTCTGAACAGCACAGACAGCAGGACTACTGCCTGCATTGGGTCACTGCCTCCTGCTGATTGCCATGCTAGTTTAGGATTATGGTTTAATCCTGTAGAAGCAGCTAAGAGATTAAAGGGCTGTAGGGACAGGTGTCTCAGCCCAGCAAGGCAGCTGCCTCCCATCATTAACTCATTCCACAAGAAGATTCTTCCAAGATGTAGAAGGGCAGGCAGTAGCTGAGAGCTTCCATCTATTCTGAATTACCCCAGCACTAAATCTGCATCAAATCAAACCCTTTCCAAAGCATGTTGCATGGCTTGCTGCATTTCACAAACTGTCCTCCCAATAAACAGAGAAGAAAAGGCAATGTGAGGTAAGCATGGAGAATGCAGCCCAAACAACAGCAAGGGAGGGATACACTGGTTAGGAATAAGGCACAGAAAATATTTAATTTTTATCAAAGAAGTTATAAACGTGAATGCCAGTTGCCCTAGAATAAAAAATGAAAACATATAAGAAGCCAGTTGTATTCTAATCCAGAAACTGACCCTTTCCAGTTAGGTCTGCCCTCCTTTCTGAGTATGTTTCACTCTGTGTTAAACAGGGATGGTTACATTATTTTACCTGGAAGTGTTGCTATGAGCCACACGGGTACAATTCACAGGACTTCAGCACTGCCAGAGGCTTCGGATGTCCACAGTGGGCAAAGAATTAAATTATTTCCACTTCACAGTTGTGTTTATTCCTGGGTTTGTGCTATTTCATACTTTCTCTAGTAAGCAAACAGGATCCAAACTCATCTAACCAAGACACTTTATACCTTCCTGGCCTTTATACCCTTCTGCCCCTTTTGGTTCCTTAAACCACATAAGCACTATGTGCAAAACCCCTGGAACTGCATTTGTTCCATGGATTTGGATCATGGTCTAGAAAGCAAATAAAAGCGCTTTATGCGTGTAAAAGGCATTTTTATGTTCTAAACAAATCTTTTAGTACTCCAGTGCATTTGAGCTTCCTCTCATTTACCATTAAAGCTATTTTTAAAGCAAATAGTGGCAAAAAGAATTAAGTGGGAACTTCCATTGCAACAATATAATATGTTTTGTTTTACTGAGAGCATGTCTTAACTTTTAAAACTAAGGAAAAGCACTAGAAGAATAAGCAGAAAAGCTGAACAAATGCAGCCACAACCTACTCCACTAAAAGTTACTATTTTGTGATTTTAATTTTTAATTAACACACTTATATTGTAAAATTTCTCCCTGAATTTCCCTGTGAATACTTCATATAATTTCTGATACTACGGTCAAAAAAGATAATTAAAACTTAAGAATATAAATTTAAGCCCCATACTTTGAGGGCTCCCCTAACCACATGGGCCTGATGCTGGAATTGCGTGGCTCATTCCAGCACACCCCAAAACATCCTCACAGCTCACATGTGCCTGCCAGGCTGTGGCTGCTGCATTTTGGTAAGGCAGGGTTGGGAACATGCATCTTGCATCTTCCCTGACATTCCTCCCTGAGCAAATGACACCTGTTCTAATATGAAATGTTTTTCTTTCACTCACATACACTTAGAAAAATGGCATGAAAAGGAGCACGGTGTCTATGAAGACAAACTGTGCTGTGGCATACACAGGCTGTAGTGCTCGGGTGTCTCCACCTGCAACCACCCCTGACCCTTTTGTAGGACGTGATGCTTGAAGATCCGGGCGGTACAGGGCAGCTGTTTGCAGATGGGGTTTTATCAAAGACCCAGAAGGACTGTGTAGCTCAGTGAATCCAAAAAGGTGCCTGGGTACACAACACGCCTTTCCCAGGGAGAAGTTTTTACCTATTTCCTATCTTCTTGCAAGCCAGTTCCCTCTCAAGGTGGAATGAATAGTTGTATTCTCATCCTATGACACTCATTTGTGCCTTAAAACTTCACACTTGATTTGTTTGTTGTTTTGAGTTAACCTTGTGCTAGCTTGGATGCCTGGAAGGGAGTCAAAATTACAACTTTTTATAAGTACTATTTAGCTCCATGATATATTTTTTCCACATAAAATTGGTGCAGGCTTCGAGTTCCTGTATTCAGCCCTGAAGCAGAGAATGTTTAGATGAAGCTTTGGAGAAAACTGACCAAAACACTTTTAAGTAACAGGTCATGAAAAATTATTGTAGCTGGAATTTTTATATATTTCTAACTATGAAAGGAATTATTTCAATCCCTTCAATCTTTCTACAGGTTGATTTTCATGAAGGTTGATGCACTGCCTCTTCTCAATGTCCTACTCCTATTCACATTTAAAACATTTTGTGTTTTTTGGCTATTTATGTCAGTAAGTATAAAATTAAAGTGCACAATGTTAATGTGACTTCATTTTGGAAGCTTCATTTCTTGGGTGTAGACCAGAACCCTTAAAAGGACCTGATTTCCAGGGCAATCTGAAAATTAAGCCCCTGTGAGTTATCTTATTCTGGAACCTAAGAGCAAAGTCTCCATCCACATCCAAAACCTTCAGTGTAAATTAAGTTGCCTCTTGGATTACTTGAAAATGTGTGCAATTATGTTCTTACCATGACGTGTATGAGCCTCCTCTTACTTCAGTGTCTGCCTTGTGTCCTCAGACTCGCAGGGCTGGGGTTTGGCCCTGACTCAGTTCAGCAGCCCTCACTACAGGGTTTAGCTTTTATCCTGCTTGCAACTACGTGATGTTCCGTGATGTCTGTCAAAATCTGTCGGGTTGAAAGTGGAACCTGCTGAAGACATGATTAAGCATTAAAATTTGGTCCAGGGCACAAACACTTCAGTGTTTCTTGCTGCTATTTTTTTCATTTTGCATTCTCACTGGTAAAGCTCATGCACTGAGTCATTATATGGGATGCTTGCACCTGTAATGGACTGTGCCTGCACTTGGGAAGAGAAACCAGAATGTCAGATGAGCCTGGTGCTGTAAACCAAAGAGCTGTAGAGGACAACCTGTGTGTCACTGGCAGCTGTATGCTTTTAAAACTGGAATAAGTTATAAAAATAAACTGTGTTGCTGTGGATAATGCTTAACGGTGAGGTTTATTCTTAATTCAGCTCCCGTGTCCCAGTTAACTGGGAGTCTGAATTAGCTGGGGATTGATGACAATCCACGGTGCTGACAGCAGTGCAATGTTTCAGACCAGGTGAGCAGAGGTGGAAGGCACGCTCGGCACTGGCTGGGCATGGACTGGCTCCAACACCAAGGGATCTGTTACACTTCATCTCCCAAAATTACCTGGCAGTTTAAAAAGAATATTTACAAGCAATATTGCGCATCATACTTCAACTACAGTGGTCTCAGTTTGAACTTGAGAGGGAGAAGCTGGCATTCTGCTTTTTTCTCATATCCTAACTTTTGCCCTAGTTGTAGGGTTAATTAGCTCTGCCCTTCTTTGGTTTTCCAATGTAGTTAATAAGAAACATCATTATTAAGTGTTTTCTGATAGTCTACCACACTGATTTATACAATCTGGGAAATATACCAGACCTGGAGTCCACAGTTGCTCAAATTTGCTGACTTTTTACTTGGCTTAAACTGATACCTTTGATTTGTTAATTAACTGCTGATTTAGGGTGAAGCAACCGTGCAATTTAAAATAGGAATTCCCTAATAAAGATATTTTCCATTTTGATCCAGATGGATGTGTTCTAGTTTTGGGGAGAAAAAAATACTCTCTTAGAATGCAAATTACTGCCTTGCATTGTTTCCCATTCCAAACACTGAAAACACACAAGACACCCCCCTTCAAAGAACTGAATCCCAGGTAATGCTACAGCTGTCAAACTATTTTTTCTCAATAAAATTTTCTGCTTACTAATCTGGTCTTTTTCTAGGCCTACAAACTGCAGACCTCTGTTGTTCCCAGACACACCTGTGCTAAAGGCTCTCAGATGAACAGCAAAGGCATATCCAACAGTGAGCCTACAGTTGGAGAATTCCACTTCTAAAATTGTGGTTATTTGAGAATAATGTAACATAAATAATTCCTAAGAGATTGTACACCTTCGCAAAAATTACATGTCCAGTCAATAATAAGCCCTTCTTTTTCTTCCTTGATTCAAGTGTTATGGAAGAGTCTGAAAATCAGATTTGCAAAACAATCTTCAAAACATACAGTGTTCAACATTTCACTCACCCCTCTCGTGAAATTTGGCTTCCAACTCAGGGTTCCAAATCCGATACAGTAAATGCAAACTACAGTTGCTGGAAATG